AAAGTTTACTAATATAAAGTAATATATTTTTGATTTATATTTTAGAGCATGGAGAAATGTGTATTCTTGCCATCTATCCCTATCCCTTGGTCAAACAGTATCAGTATCAATATTAGTATATTAGCATTTATATTAGTTATATCCCTGAGATATGCCTTAGTGAAAAWCAAATAAATCGCTTGATTTCAGGTTAAATTAAAAATAATTGCATTCACCGAGTTCTAAAGTTCATTTCAAAGTATACGAAGTTAATTAAGTCTCGCAGTTGCAATTAGTGTCAGAGATATATCTGAACATGTGTCACGTGATGTTTTAAAATTTATATATCTACATTCATATATAACATACTAAAACGTCTATATGTAATATAGATTATGCACTTGCAGCTCATARTTACTAGAGCCATTTATATGTCAAATGAAGTGACATTAGCTCATTAATTGAAGAGATAACGAACTAATTAGTAATTAACCGTTTTTAAAGTATTAAAAATAGCGACTCTTGTCATTTATTAAATTGAAAATTAAATTGACATCTCTGAAAAATAACTATACCTATGCTATAAAAGGGGATGATCCATTTCAAGGTTCCATATTTTTTAAAGAAAAACATAGAAACTTCAAATTTAATGGGAAATGTTTATTATCATTCGAAAAAACATTTTCTGRCATTTATTTTTTGAAGATTATCTCTTTCAAATGTTAGCCGCGGCTMCGTCTCAGATGGCCCATTCATTGAGATCAATTTTCGATGACTAGTTCGAGGACACGCGTGAAGTGCAAGACCGAAATAAAGGAGGGATTGTCCACATAGACTTTACACTTTACATATCCAAACAGGAAAAAAGCTTCAATTTTAGCCATCAACTAGTCGGTTATCGTGGCGCAATAACGGTCACCAATGACGGTTACGTTCTCACGGGCATCATTTTTGAAGAAATRGGGACCGATGATTCCACGGGCCCACGAACCACACCAAAACGTTGTTTTTCCTGGATGAAATTACAGCTTTTAAATCTCTTCAGGTAGCTCTTTGTCCCATGTGCTGCAATTTTGCTTGTTTACGTACCCATTGAGCTAAAAATGGGTGTCATTGCTGAACAAAATTCTGATTGAATCCTTTCAAGAGCCCTTTGAGCGAAGCGTTGTCCCTTGAGAAGGYCGGTCGACTTCAGTTTTGTACAAGCTGTATTTTGTACGCTTTCAATTTAAGATATCGACGGAAAATGCGMCAAGTCGTTTCATACGTCAGCCCAAGTTGCTGCGAACRRCGCCGAATCGACTCTCCATGGTCTCCGTGTACTCTTTCAATTTCGGCTGATATATTTTAATCAATGCRTGCGGGACAGATGTAGTTAGGTGTAGATATACTACGATTGACCAAAAATAATCGTTCATAATCCTCAAGATGACATGTCATGATGTGTCACAAAGAAATACRAAATTGTTTCTCAAATATTGAGGCCAGGAACACTGAGCCATTTCTATGTGACCTAATCTTTGCTTCCATTTTTTGTACCCCGTTTTTTAGGATAACTATTTTACTGGCCGACGTGTATTGTTTAAAAAAGAGTTTGCGATCAGAATTTTTAAGCTGTACTAAGGRAACATGGAGTGTTACGAGTAAAATTGCGAAGCAGGCGTTTTCAGGTGAATGTGGGTGGTGCGACGCTTTGTAAACCGCTTCTATAATTTGTGCCCGCTTCTATAAACTTGCGTGTGCGGGCTATATAATTCTCCTATTTACAATATTGTTTTTGAAGCACATATTAGAAAGTTGGTYAGCAAAATACTTAGCTTGAAACCAATTAATCTGTCACACTTCATAAAAATAGCTTTTCATGTTTTATGGCAGCTTAATTTTTATCTATATGCACGAGTTTGTCCACGTTCGTTATATTTGTGTATCASCTTGATAAGTCCATAAACTTTTGTAGACTATATTTTACATGATTATATATTTTATGCAAATGAATAAAAAATATTTTAAGGGTACATGGGTTTAGGATTTTCGAAAAATATAATTTTTTATATTGTCTAGTCAAGGTCAAATTGATTGCAGTAATAGTTTCGGAGTAACAGCCTGGAGAGCTTGTGTGCTCGAGGCTAGCTAGGCTAAGTGCGCGGTCTTTAAATGCGTTTTTCTCGAAACTGTGTTTTTGAAATCGATCAAATCGGAAAGATCTCTCAAGAACTACTCAACSGATCTTCATGAAATTTTTCACATCATTCTTTACTGCAAGAATTAATATTTCTTTATTTTAATATATAATTTTTTTTTATTTCTACAATTTACAGTTATTGCATGATTTTTGATATGTGGATGTCCGAGGATGGCATACGTCCAGGTCACATTATGGTTATGGACTTAAAGGGCGTCACTTTGGGGCATGTGGCACGCATCGGCATATTTCAGATGAAAAAGTTTCTCTTCTATTTACAAGTGAGTACTTTCGTAGCCCTTTTTTATAAGATTTCAAACAAAGCATATGATTTTAACGCAGGAAGCTGCCGCGATACGTTTGATTGGTTTCCATTTCATCAATATTGTACCATTTATGGATAAAATTTTGGCGCTGATGACACCGTTTATGAAAAAGGAGCTAACCAGTATACTGTATATACACAATAACCTAGAGGATTTCTATAAATTTGTACCACAGTCTATATTACCTAAAGATTACGGCGGCGATGAGTTGGAATGTGTGGAATTCAGAGGTAGCGAATGTGGTTATTATTATCATTATTATTATTATTATTATTATTATTATTATTATTATTATTATTATTATTATTATTATTATTATTATTATTATTATTATTATTATTATTATTATTATTATTATTATTATTATTATTATTATTTTTTATTATTATCATTATTTTTGTTTTTTATTATTATGATTATTATTATATGGTGTGTGAGCTACTGTTATTGCTTAATTATTTTGAAATATCTCTGCATTTGTTGCATTATTCATTGCATTTAAAAACCTACATTTAATCAAGTTTACTTTTCAGAAACCGTTTACGCCAAGCTTAAAGAAAATCGCGAAGAAATGCTGCAATTCGAAAAGCGTCATCAAGTAAACGAGAAACTGCGTCCGGGAAAACCGAAAAATGCCTCAGAGCTATTCGGCATTCAAGGGAATTTCAAGAAGTTGGATATTGACTAAAGCTTTTAGATTCAACAGCTTTATTATAATTTTTTTTTTTGTTTGATTTTTAAAAAGTATAAAATTATATCGAAGTGTCTTTAAAAATTTGGTGTTATTATTTTTACTTTTAGTTAAATATTTGAGATACAATAAAAAAAATTAAATAAATAATGAAAGTTAAAAACAGTTTTTTCTTGCCTTTAAAGTAAGCATGTTTCCGTACAAAATATCTGAATGTTTTTTTCAACTTTTTGAGTTCAAAATTAGCATAACTTATAACAATAATAATAATAAGAATTTATAATATTTTCTTTAGTCCCCCCTAGCACAGTTTTCATAACAAAGTGCATTATAATCTGTTTTACGAATTCTTAATATTCTTATAAAAGTTGTCTAGATCTATTGCAATAATAACAAATACATTATTTAATATTTAAAATATTTTCCGCTTTATTTTAATTTAATTATTTAGCAAAATTATGGAATTCAAAATAGGTTCAAGTCCAGTTGTGAATAGTTACTTCGGATAATACATATATATGTAGATATACACATACCAAATAAAATGTATGTATATGTATAGACGTTATAGATAAATATGTTATGATAATGCATAAAGTAATTTACAAGCCATTTAATAGTAACCCTTCGTAAAAATCTATACTCAAATAAAATACTATTGAATATATTTACATACAATGCAAAAGTAGAAACAAAGTAGTTCATATAATAGAAGCACTTATTATACAAAAAACTGCATTCAATATTACGAAAGTTTCTGATCCATAATGTGAACTTAAATTAGATTTCGTTAACTCAAAACGTATATTTAGCGTGACATGAGCCTGTAGTTTTATATATATTTTCACAAGATAAATTATTATTTAATAACTAGAAAATTTTGATGAGTGTATATATTTTTCGACACTTGCATATATGTATGTTTTTAATTAAATATCAACTAAAAGCAAATAACGGTAGTTTTTCACTATTTCCTTTTGAAATACAAACTAGTACTTAAAAATACCCCTTGTGGTAGTGTGTAATGCGAAATTATAACTAAGAGAATTATTATTTAATAAGTATGTTAATATAATTTATGTATTATACTATGTAAGTATAGGTATACATATGTCTATATAAATAAGTATGTTTTAATGCATCATWTACAAATGTGTTTACGTGATTTTTTACATTTATGTTTCTATGTATTTTTGCAGATATGATTTAATGAATTCATGTACGGTATGTCTATTGGTTTATATACAAGTATGTTTATATATGTATGTTTATGTACTTCACTMAAAATTTATTCTCAAATGGAACAATACTTTAAAGTTACTTAAACATATGTAAATTTATAATTTATACAACTTAGTATTTAGGCATATGTTTCGAGTACAGTTAACTACAAATATTAATATAACTACATATATTTTCGTTTAATTTCATTTTTTTACCAGAGATAATTGCGCGCTTGAGCCGCAGAACCCCAACTATTTGCATTAACCATAGATAGGCATTTGAAATTCRGTTACATTAATAACTAAACTAAAGACTTTTATTTACAAAGCTTAAAACTACTTATTAAATGGGAAAACTTAAGCAAAATGTCAAATTGAAAACATATTCGAGTGCCCAGCACTTCGTTGTAATTGTTGTAAATTGTGTCATGAAGGCAAGTAATTGAAAGTAAACGCACTTCTTACCATTTTAGAATCTCACTTTACATATTCATTAATTTTTTTCCCACAAAATTAACTTCACTTCCTCACAAGCGTAATGGAAAGCGGCGAACTTTCAATCATTGACGGTAATGAATGTTTCTTCGTCACTACGTTTGTTACTGCACTTTGCATTTTAGCACGCAACGCTGTTGCAGTTTTTTTAAGTTTTCCTGCGCCTTTGCTGCTTTTCTTATTGCTGAAACTGCGGTTCATTGGTATTGCATTATTTGTGGACGCTGTTACTTGGTGATTGCCGACATTTGAGCACGCGTCCTCGGCTCATCATCACATCTGCGTTGGTCGTAGCATGCCACAAGACATAGATGTTGCCGCTCCACTAGCTGCACTTTGCATGGTGGCCATTGTTTGTTGCAACGCTGCAGCAGCCGCACGGTTGCGCGAAGTACTTCTTGACGCGGACATATTCGATGATGTACCACCACTGATATTTCCAGTGCCACCACCACTAAGCATACGTTGATGATGTTGTTGTTGTTGTTGCTGRTGTTGAGTTGTTAACTGAGTCATAGCCTGTGTAACATTCGATCCTGGTGCAGTTATTGTGGCCATATTGGCAGCGCCCACATTATTATTGGGAGCTGCGCTGGTAAGCTCCCAGCTATTGCCGCGTTGTACCAAAGCAGTGATGGGCAGCTAATATGTGTGGAGTAGAAAAGAAAACATAATTAGTGTGCATTTCATTTTTTATTTTTACAAATTGATATATTTACTTTTTAATATTAGGTTATCAAAAAAGTCTTGCGGTATTTTYGCTAGTTGGCGCTGAGTGCGCGTAGTTCTAGTTTTATTCGTCGCATCGGGTCATGCTATACCTTTTTGTAACCTCATTTGGAAACGCGCTAACACGTGTTTGATTGATTGTCGTTTCTTTTAAGTCGTTCGTGAGTTATAGCGTCGTAAATATGAAGCAAAATAAAGAGAAAATACAGCATATTTTACAGTACTACTCCAATTAAGGCAAAAATGCATCTCAAGCCGCCAATAAAATTTGTGCAGTTTATGGACCCGATACAGTTTCCATTTCTACCGCCAAACGATGGTTTCAACGTTTTCGTTCTGGTGTAGAGGTGGTCGAAGATGCGCCTGTCTCTTATACACATCTAGATGTGTATAAGAGACAGTAGGTCAAGGGCTGGGTATGAGTCATCAAAAAAAATTGTATGAACAATTGAAAATTCAATAAAAATACCGCAAGACTTTTTTGGCAACCTATTATAAAACAAATATGCGAAAGTGGAAACTAATTATCTATTTACCGGTATATTGACGCGTTGCACGGAGTACGTTGAGCCACGCAAATTTCCACCGCTGTTATTATTATTCCCAGCATTGCCGCACTGCGGCACCGTGCGCAAATATGTATTAGAGGGCAATTTCAGTAACTCCGTTGCTGCCCCCGAGGCGACTCCCACGCCGGCAGCATTGGCAGCGGCAATTGAGTTCATCGAGTTGTTAGCGGACGAATTTGAAGCGGATTGCTGATGACTTACTTTCGATGCACCGTGCTTATCCTTTTTGTTGTTCATTGTGTTTTTGTTATACAGTGTTGATTGCGATTGTTGTGAYCCAGACATTGAAGTTGTTGTTGTGACGGCCATCATATTATTATTGGAATTCTTACTACCACAACCAACATTTTGTTGCTGTTGTTGTTGTTGTTGTAGACCCATTGCCGATACCGTTGTCGTCATAGTGCTAACGGTTTTCGCCAAACTATCGCTAGCGCTAGCAATAGTCGGTCGTGTCTGCGCACAGGTGGCCGAATGACGCGACCAATGCATTTGTTGGCAAGGATAATCACAATACGATGTATTCCAGCAACAATAGAACTGTGCCTCTCGACCACAATTTGAACACCACTGCTTTTTTTTAGTTTCCTCGATGGATCTCAAACGTTCTTGCTCGCATTGCTTGCGTATCTCATTGGAGATGCGAGTCTTCTCGTTCTCCATGCTTTTACGCATTTCGGAGAGCATCAAATCAGAGGTGCGTTTGAGTTCGGCWATTTCATGCTCATATGCTTGCTTGGTGCGCTCAAGCTCTATTTTTAGTATTGTTATTTTAGCTTGTAAAACGGGTTCATCGCCTTCGGACATCTCTAACATGGTGTCCTCCATAACAGATATAAAGAAGTCCGTTAACTAAATAATAAATGAAACGACTATTAATCCATGCAATATTATGAATTAGTATAGTTTGTGTAAGTATATACCGTTTTACACCACCATCACACCCAATATTCTTTATATTTCACTCACCTTATGCGCATTCTCTACCAGCGTCTGACACACCGGACCCGCTTGTGAGGGAAACATTGTCGTACCGTCCGATTTTAATGGACCGTTAGGACGTTGCATCAACCTGGGTGGACCTCGGCATATCGCATCCGTAACCATGGAAGTTAAACTAGCTGTTACAATATCAGCACTCGATGTGCTGGCCACGCTGATTGTGTTACTAGGAATGCCTACTGCTTGTGGTGTAGGTAGTTCAACTGCTGAGGATATAGACACGATAGCGTTACCACTACTGGCATGAATATTGTTGCCACTCATAGGTATATTTGAACACAAAGCAGCGCCTACCGTAGGTGCCAACATATTAGACGATGGTTGAGAGAGTCCCGCCAAAGGCGGTGGTGCTGACATAGTGAGTGGAGTAAGTAGAGCAGTTCCGTTTGGACCAATACTGCCATTGCAAGTGACAAATGGTGTCACTATTGCCGCGGAATTGATGGCAACATTCGKTATAGGATTCGTGTTAACCAACATGTTATTATTGTTGTTTTGGCTAMCTGTATTATTGTTGTCCCCTAACACCGCCACCACCGCGGRTGTTTTGGAGACGGCAGTCAGCGGTGGCACTGGTATAGAATGTGTRGTGGTATTGCTGCTACTAACGGTGGCATTACGTTGAGGCTCATGCGGCGACCAAGCTTGTCTTGGTATGGAGACCATACTGTTCTTCAAGAGCGTCCGTTTCAAGTCATTACTATTTGCTAAGGGCGATGTAGAGGGCGGCGGTAGAGCAGGCGATGAAAGTGGTGCGCTGGAGAAGTTGTTGCGCGTTGCACCAGCATCAGGCGTACCGCGATTTGGAAATGATTTGCGTGCCCGTTGAAGCGGCTGAAGCGACTGCATCGATTGTGATTGAGATTGCACTTGCGGCGGTGAGGATGACTGGGGTAATTGGTGTTGTTGTTGCATTGTAGGGCGATTCGCTGAATTATTTGTGTTTTTTTGTGTCTGCGGATGTGACTGAACAACAGCAGATGACGGTAGTGGACCATATGGCACACCTCGAGTATTCGGTCGTTTATTAGGGGGACTTATATGGATACCAGCCGACGATTGCGCATTTGGTATATCCATTGCAATAGCGCCCTCCGGATTTGTTTGAGCAAGAGTTTTGAGTACAACTAGACTTGGTTGTGTATTGCGATTGTTTTTAGCATTCACACGCTGGATCATAGTGTCGCCAACACGTACCGCATCGGGTAATGCGGCGGTASGATTATTGTTTGCATTATCTCCACCAGACGATGTTGTGTTCAGCTCTGCCTGTGCAGTATTAACTGTGGCGGTAGTGGTTTCCTCCTCATCTGACATTACTTCTTGTTTGACGAGAGACAAGTTCGGCAGTACAGCCGGCACTGCGTTGTCAGGTAATGAAACATGCGCATTAGTATCAACGTTTGCTTTTGGTGTTGGCACAGCTTCCGTTGTGACCTTGGAAGCTTTTTCGTTCATTTGTTTGATATTCTCTGCACTTATGTTGGCCGCTACTTGCATGTCTGCTTCATCGTCCGAAGTAATTTCTTTCTTTATCTCAATAAAAGGCACCAAATCTTTTAGTATGTGCGTATTTGTTGTAGATTTGGTAGTACATTTCTTACTATCCTCAGTTTTATTCGTACAGCTACTGCTGCTGTTGCTGCTTTCCGCGTTCTTGTTGACATTTGCATTACTGTTATCATTATCAGTACTGTTGGTGGATCTAGTTTTTTGTGTACCGCCTGGAGTATCCGTTGCCGCACTCGCTGTCTTCGCATCACTGTCAACTTTTGCTGGCCCCTCTTCTATTGCTGTGCCCATTGCCACCACCAACTTTGCAGATTCATCGGGTTTTCCCATTGAACCCTCCTTTGATATCTTCTTAATTGTGACACCGTGCTTATTCTTAACTAAGTTTTCCATTAGGGCTTGAGCATTATTTGGTGATGAAGTCAATGGTGCCGGCATTGCTGCGGCAGCAAGATCTTCCGTTACAGCAACTGTTGTCTTAGCTTCCACGCTAAATTTTGTAGTGTTGGAGCAATTTGAGTTAGGTGCTGCTAGTGAGGTAGCAGCTTTGCTGTCGGAACCAATTGCCACTGTTAATGCATTTGCATTTGTTTTAATCGTAATCATTGGAACACGTGGCTCATGCTTGGCATGCTTCGTGCGTGGACGCTCAGTTGAGTCAGCCACTCTAGAGGTACTACCCACACTACTGGCGCTTGAATTTACACCTTCGCCACAAGTTTCAATGCCATATTTACGTTTACCACAGGTTTCCACGTTGCCATCGACATTACCAGTAAGAATGGCACCGGTTAATCGGCGCGGATCAGTTTCTTCTTTGTCGAATTTTATTACCTTCGGCATTGGTAGCTCAAGCTCTTCTCCAGCCTCTCTTTTGTGTTCGCTAGACGATTTGCGTTTCAAAATGACGGCGGTCACCTTTGACGAATTACTATCGTCAGAACTTGCTTTGCTAACCACTTCATACTTAGGCGTAATTATGGCTGCCTTGACGTCACCAGCAGTACAAATGCCACTTGTACTTGTAATACTACTGGACTTCTTATTTGGACTAACAGAATGATCCGAATCGTTGCTCGACTCTGTAGTACATGCCTTTTTAATAATCGACAAATGATTATCCGCGGTCTTAACAATTTTATATTGCAAGGAAGGTTTCGGCACCAAAGCCTGTTGCCGTTTCATATAGTCCATTACACCGGGTATCATCATTTCCAATTGCTGCAGCTCCTCAGTCGGTTCGTAAGGTGTTTTGAATTTGGCATACTTAAACGCACCCACTTTAGTTCTAATCTTCTCAATATGCACCTCAACTTCTTTAATGCAATCGGCCAGCTCGCGCGCCGAACGCTTGCCAGTTTGTGTATTTGGATCCTGCTCCGAATACAGAAAGCAATCTTTGATCGGCACAAAAGCACGATCATGTTCGCCGAAAAAGCGTACATTCACATGTGACAGTCCTTGTCCGGGACCCATGGCTTTTGCTGGCCAATACGGAAATCCCTTCAACTTTGCCCAAAGTAATAGATGTGGCTGCGTGCAAACATCCACAAACCAATCGGTACGCGTGTTGGCATTCAAATAGCACTCACCGCAGGTATCGATTTCGTTGGTTTCCTGCCGACAAACTTTCAATATGGCTTTGGCAGTGAACACCTCTTTACTAGAGCCTGAAATAAATTAATTTTCATTTATAAAAATGGAAAACGGTCAAAGTCCTATTTGTCTGTGCTAACTCACTGCCACTGCTAAGGATGAGAGCATTGTGTAGTATCCATTTTGTTTCGTTGAGGAACTCTTCGGAACAACGAAAGGCGCGTTTCTCTATTCTCTCCTGTAACGTTGTGAATGTAACCGGGTTTGCAATGTACTTGGCGTAATGTAATAGAAAACTGTCAGTGTATAGGAACTTGGAATACTGCAATGGCAAATGGAAAATGAAAAATAAGTAAACAAATAATTCCATATAAAAGATATAATTCTGAATTTTTTAATGGCTATTGTGGATAATTGTATTCATATGCACACACATACATATGTACGCATGAAAAATTACATTTTTTTTTATTGTAAGTAAATTAGCAGAAATTATAAATTTTATGAAATATTACAATAATTATATAGTTTGTTGGTTGACAAAGATTAATTAATTAGCTAATTGAAAACTTATTGAAGAATAAAACAATTGTTTAGCAATTTAATTATATAACGACTCGCCGTAATTTTACTTAGCCAAACTAAAAAGTTCAAACTTTTTTATGGATTTATACTTAATATAAATAAACATATCTGCCTTTAAATATTTCTCCTGTGATTATTGAATGTGTAAAAATATTTGAATAGCTACAAACATGTATGTATGTATGTATTTATGTAGAGGTGCATCAAGTCTTGAAATAGGTCAATATCCATATGCATATAGTATATATGTATATATATATGTACATATGWATTTCCCTATTTGAATATATGTACATATGTAGCATTTTCCATCAATTATATCACTACTAGGTACCGTTAAGCAGCATATAAACCCCAAATAATAAGTATCAACTATCTGAAAGCGTTTCGGGTTGCATATACATACATATATAACATATATACSTAGGTGTATTATTATTAACAAAAGTAGCAAAAGAACGGACAAGTAACAACAAGTCATGAGTGTAATGTGAGTGGAATGAGGAACAGGTAAGCAAATAGAAAGCATGTAATGAGGAGTATTGCATATATACAAATACAAACATAGCGCTCTTAACCGGTAAATTCGCCGCAATCGTCAAAAGAGAAGAAAAATGGACGCCATAGCGTATTTTACAGAAAAGTATCGAAGAGAAAATGTAATCTAGCAATAAAAGAGTAGTACTTGTATTAAACAAGTTTGCTACATATCCAACAAACCCGGATATAATTGATGGAATACGTAATATCAAATACATAATCATCACAAACAAATCGAGGTTAACTTATGTACGTGCTTATATTAAATTGTTAATTCATATATACATACTATAAAACATTTATATATGAGCATATCATACATTTGTTTGCAATCTATGACTTATCCTTGCATTCACGGCATTAGCAAGCCATATAATTTCTAGGTTAGATAATTGTAAAGTATGTCATTTAGTTGAATTAAGACATGATCAATAATGACTGACACTCAATCTATGCGCTGCACACATTTTTACACACATATTTACTTAAATCTATGGGTTTATGCATATTTTCTAGGTTTGCAGACCAGTAAACATGGCTCGATGTCTAACCCTTGCTAAAGTAGACATTTTAGCGACATGCACATTGGATCATACTAGGTGCTATAAAGATACGGGTACACGTACATGAATATTTTTGCAATTTTTGTTTCAACTTGTTTTTTCTATATTTTATATAAAATTCAGTTTTTATGTATACTATTAGTAATTGAATGCATGTATATGTCACTAATTGAATACAATTCTAAAATGGCCACTAAAATCTGAATTTCTTTAACAGTTCATTAATATAAGAGATTGTCAGTTCAAAATATGTACCAGACTCAAGCTAAATTCTACCAAAATAATTATTACTCAAAAACGTTTTCAAAATTACCATTTGAGGAATATTTTAAGATATAACAGTTAATTTACCTCGGCAAAAATAACCGATACCCGTTTTTTTAAATATTTTTTATATTTTGGCTATTTTCATATTTAAATGTCCAATTAAGCATCATAAACATACATTAAAAGGTGCTTACACACCAATCATTCCAACACATTCTTATTGGTCTTTAATCTCTATTGTCTATTGAAATATTGAAAAGTATAATGCGTTTTTATTGCAAATCATTGTGCGTATTATCTAGTTTAATAACTCTTATTTTGTTGGTAAGGTAAGTCATAAACAAAATTATTTGTCATAGCAACAATTATGACTAAGAAAATAAAGGTTATTTGATATGACATACAATTTATATCGATATCTTATTTAATTATTTAACTTTTTGCAAAGTTGCATCGACGAATATACGCACTTATTAAAAAAATAGTATATTTGCATGTTAAGTGTTATATACCTATAAATAAATGCAGATTATCTAACATTATTGTTTGATGAGTAAGCATACTCTACTCATTGGGTACTTGTTACAATTGTCTAAAAATTAAAACTACTTTGATTTAGATAATCAAGAATATTTTTGCAGCCGTATTGTAATATAAGAAAAACATGAAATGATTACGAAATAAACTCAGTATAATAAAATTTAAATATATATATATTTCTATATGCAATGCCACAAAATACATATGCAAATGTAGAAATACACATGTATGTACAGCACATTTTTATATACATACTACATATATGTATGTATACTATGTAAATTTGTAGTCATATCAAGCAGATTGAAAGTTAAAACAACGATTTGTTGTTGCTGTCTCAGCTATGGACGTAGTAGCTTTTGCTCTATAAAATCCAACCAAGCTAAAACAAAATCTCCAATATGCTGTACTAGAGACAAGTTCGTGAAATTCACGATGACGATAACGTACACGAAGCAAACAAAAAATAACAAAAAAATGTGATAGCAAAGACGACGAAGCGGCATGTGATGAAACAGAATACAATTGACCAAATGAATAACAATAGGAAAAACTTGATTGTGTCGGTATCTGAGGCGCAATAAAAGCAAAAAAAAAAAAAAAAAATACAGAACGAAATACTATTTTTAATGTTTTATATTGTTTTTTTGATATCTAACACGCCAAAATACAACTGCGAGTTAAACAATTTTTGATTATTTCTGGAATTACATAAATGCAAAATGGAGTTAAACTTACATGAACGTAAAATATTAAAATTGGTGTTCTATTACTTTGAATATTGACACACATTTATATCAGTATTCATAAACATAGATGTATGCATGGATATATATCTATAAGTTTTTAGAAATGTACATACACATATAGTTTGTGTGTAATTTTAGATATCTACTCACCCCTTTAACCATTTTCATGCGTTTCAAAGCAAACGAAAGAAGCTGACTCAACACATCTAAGGACATCTCATTGCGACGAGAACTGCTGTTGCAACGATGAAAAAATATCAAAAGGTTAATTTGAATTTTAGATATTAGATTAATACAAAATTTTTTACTTCGAATTCTGTTTTCTCTAAGAGCAGAATTTTTTTTTTTTGAGTCGTTAAAGCTACTTTAGATAATTTTCTATTAAAAAATAAACAAAAATCTTATTCAATATTAAAAAAAAAATGTTTTGCAGCAGCTAAAATGCTCATTACAAATTTGTGTCGAATTTTCAAACATTGTTTTTGAAAAAGTATTTTAGTTGTTTAAACAAGATTTAAAAAAAGAGTTTTAATTTTCAAATAATTTTGTACGGCAATCAATATAATTCATTTAAATTAGATACTGCTTAAAACCCTGATTATGCTTTATTTTTCTAATTAGTCACAAATTAAGAAAGAAGAGATTATCTACGACTAAAAAATTTCGTAAATATTTACGGTGTAAAAATAAGTTTACTCTTAAAAAATTAAATATGTTTAAAACTGTGTTTAATTCACCGTTTGGGTCCATTAAGTACGTTCTCCACACTCATGCACTCTGGGCATACCCACGAATCATCTAATTTTGTGGCCGCTGTCACCTTAATGCAAGTGCAATGGAAGCTGCGCACACATTTGGAACACGGAAATAGGTCGGCACACTCACGACATTTCCAACAAAAACTATCCCAACCTCTCTGCAAATTTTTGTATATAAAAAATTGGCATATTATTTTTTTTTTTTCTACAGACAAAATTTAATGCACTTACTTTTGGAGGTGGTGCCCAATAATTTATTAAGCGTGCCTCTACACTATCTACATTAGATGTTGTGGCAATATTTACTGGCGCCTCACGCTCCAACGTTGTGTCCAGCAAAGAATTTGTACTCCCCACAAAACCGGCAAGCGATGCATTGCTATCATTCATTATATTATTCTCGACCACCACCAAATTTATATCCTCATCTTCACCAACATTGACAAAACTACGCTCGCCATCATCCGCTTCTGAGGAAACTTCACCTTCATCGTGTTTGACACGATTCAAAAATTCCATTTGTTTCTGCACAAATTCCGAATTTTGTGAACGCATATTAGTGCGTTTAAGCATCTTCTCATCAGATGGCCAGCGTTTAAGCTTGCCAGTTGAGGTATCCAGAATATCTTCACTTTTGCGATTGACGCTCTTGCTGCGTGAACGGCGTTGCAAGTTGCTCGATGTCGAACTTCCACTATCGTCTTTCAATGGAGCGAATTTGCTATGTTTGCGCTGCTTTTCTCCATGATAATGATGATTATTATGGTGATGTTGTTGTTGTTGCGTGTAAGTTAGTTCATTAGCATCCTTTGGCGCACTCTTTTGGCGTTTTCGCACTGCGTCGGTTACAAATTCACTCAAAACCTTTGATTCATTCACAGAACGTTGGAGTGCGAGAAATTCACGTGATAACGGTGTACTACTCCGTGCAAGAAAGCGTGCGTTTTGATGTTGTTGATTATGTTGTAACGAATCCGGAGATTTTTCTTGGCCAGGAGAGTTTAGTTTATCTGCATCTGAGACAACAGACTCAGCAACCTCATCGATTGTTCTGCGCAAGCCATTGGAAATTTGACTAGACGATGAACTATGCATAGCCACTTGAGTGCTGTCCATTGGCGGCTCATTCATCATCTGTACCATAACAAGTTTATTATTTTTTGTTTTCATTGGCAACATTTTAGGCTTCACGGTCATGGCGGAAACAATTTGCACCGGTACAGGGCAAATACCCACACCTTCTAAAGACGATTCGACCGCTGCTCCCGTTTGTGAATTCAGCTTGGGTAACGAGTTAACCAATGTTGTTGTTACTGTGACTGCACTACTATTATCAATTTGGCTTACTTGCTCAGTATGTGCATCAACATCAACTGTAGCTTGTTCTAATGCATTTAGACCTGTTAGCTTCAGGTTCCGTTCATTTTCTTTATAATCATCACATTCACTGAAATCATCTCCTACAAAGCTGCCGCCTTCAGTTTCAGGTTCCTGCTGTTGATCTTCTCTCACTTCTTGATCATCTTGATCATATCTTACGTCCATATTTTCTTCATTACCTTCACTACAATCCTCCTCCTCCATATCCGCATCTTCCATCTCCGTTACTGTCAAAATGTTCGTAGAGATCAGGCCGCTTTTAACAGCCGGTACTAAGGGGGCCGTTGTGACAACAATATGTTCATACGCCGGACCCGGTATTGAGTCGACGCTGTCCTCAGCAGCCAGTRTATTTTTCTCCATTACAGGGTTGATGATATCATGGGAAAGATGATGTGTTCAAATTCAATGCTAAATACRTACGCAAAGGAATGGAAATAATTAGTATGATTGTTCGAATTAATTTAATTAATTATGTAAAGAGAAAAATAATATACACAAACACCAGCAATGACAAAAAAGAAAAGGTTAAATACACGCCTGTGGTGTATGACATCGCAGCCGAATGAACGTTGTTGCTGATCAGACGTTGAGCTGATGTGCGTTCACTACACCGGCCACCTTCGTCTGCTACGATGAATATACACGAAGCACAAGTAAATTACATATATGCAGTCGATTAGAAAATTGTTATTCTTATTGTTATTGTACGCCTACAAAACGTAGATACCAACAAATGCCGAAAATAATTCCCCATACTCCCCAAAATGCTTTCGCAACGAAAACATCCATTCCAACAACTATTTACAGGTATGAAAAGAAGTACTCGCATACCTTATAATGCATTGTGTATAAGTATACATACATACATGCATTCATATGTARTATATTTGCAGATGCAAGAGTATTGGCTTTTTTTTTTGTTGGACAACAAACGATAAGTATTCTCCAATTTCTAAAATATTGTTAGTTGTAGTCATCTCCTAATTTCTATTGTTACAAAAAATKTATATACTATGCACATAAGCAATATTCAATATTTAAAAAAGAAACTTCACAAATATTATACAAATTTTTACTACATGGTAACTTTATAGAAAACAAATACACTGCTGACGATTATGTGAAAGTGTTTGGTATCCCAATGCAATAACGTTACATTTTACGAAAAAGCTATGCTTATTAATTCAATAAACCCGATTTTAAAATATGATAGCTGGAGTAAGGAGTAAAGGAGTTTAATATCAACATTTAGCAGACCAATAGAAGAATCCTTATGTTTACCAGGAATGTTAACAGCTTTTTAGAAAATATACTCAGAGACAGGGTTTTCTTATTACTTAAAAAACAAGCCAATGATTGCACCGAACAAGAACTTGATAATTATCGGTCGAATAATTCGGCAGCTATATGCTACAGTAGTCCGATCTGAAAAATTCATTCGGTTATTTTACCGTTGATTTGGGCAATAAGCCACTTCAAATTTCATTAAAATATTTTGACAAATAAAATAGTTTCCATACAAGAACTTGATTTTGATCGTTCAGTTTGTATGACCGCTATATGCTATAGTTCCCAAATCGGCAATGTTTCAAACAAAAAAATGAGGGCTGAATCAACTCAGCTCCATGCTCTGTATATATTTCTATAAGGTCTCCGACACTGTTCAACGTATATATATAAATAGCATTTTTGAACTGAATGTGTTGTGTTTTAATAAGGTCACATTTAAATTATTCTTGTTTTCTTGAACAATGGAACTATTATATATGTAGTCATTCATTCCAAACAGAAATAAATGAGGAAACTTTGGTAACAAAGCTAAAAGACCTCTTTAGATGACAATTTTTTTCCTTCTCCCTTTTACACAGCCGCATGCATCTACAATTGCAGCACCTTGCACACATAAACAAATAACCATTAGAAAATTCGGACAAATCAGCAAAACTGTGGGCAACCACAGTCTAACAAAACGGGATTCGCTTACATTTGCCAATACACGGTACACTGTAGATGTATTAAAAGTTGTGACTATCCATTCGTACAACGAGACAAATCAAGTAAAAAAGTATTAAAATAACTTAATGAAATYATTCAATATTAAGTATATAAAGTACACTTACATTTTGTGGCCTAAAGATCAAGTTGTCGTGATCTTACAGCTGCACCCACTCCGTTTACAACTCTTCCAATTGTCGTGACCTGCCGAGTTTCGTGCGTAGTATACATTCGTAACCATGGGATGCCAGCTCTTCCTTCGTTCCAACAGCCCAACAGCTTGCTTTATGTGATGTACATATATATATGTGGTTTCCGCTGCTGGAAATAGCTGTCACTGCTGACCAGCAGGACTAAGGCGCTGTATCGATTTCTTTGCTRGGATATAGCTTCAAGATTTTATAAAGTTTACAGCGCAAAATTTTATGAYTGCTTTGAAAAGTGTGATTCCTCTAATCTGCTTAATAAACCAATATTTCCAAACTACTACTTATAAGAACTGAATGTCAGTGAGTGCCATCAATGCATTTCCCACAATTTGCCTACAATCCACACCTTTTCCACGCTGTCAACACTAGTAATATTTAGGTAGAAGCAAGAACAATTGTTTTATGCAAATGTACTCATATAATTTTACTTTTTAATGTTCAATACTTGAAATCGTTCTTCTTCGTCGACTTTGTCGCCTTCACGATTCGCAAATCAAATCGTTCACTTATTTGTAAGTGCAAATGTACATTTATACACACAAATTTATACATATTTGACGTTTTAGTTTTTTGTAGTCCATTTTTTGCTTACGGCTTGCTGTTCAAAATAATCAAGTTTATATGAATTAAAAATCGATACACCAAAATATGCAGATTTTCACTCAATTTACAAACAAAACCATTTTTCTAACTTTACTAACAAATTTTCATTTATTTTTTATACAATTTCCAATATTATTAGCGTTTATGTCGTCGCTCGCGCGGCCGTGGCTCGTTGTTGTCTGTCCGTCTTCCCTGGCTATTTTGCTTCGTTGGTGCTCACGAGGTCTCGCCACCATTCGCATTTCGTCGCATATGCAAAGAAAATACGTATATTTGTTTTTGTTTGCTTGCTCTTTACACTCTGTACGCTCACATCGAAGCGAATATGTAAATAGGTATGTATGCAAGTAATGTTTTAATGTGGTTACCGCAATCAAACTATGCATATTTTTATTTATTCAAATTAGACCATAATATTAAAAAAWTAATACTTATAACTAGCAGTTACTCCCCAAATTTAGCAATTTCTTATTCTTAATTGGTATTCATTTAGATTTACGATAAAAAAGGAAACAACAAAAACCGTATTCGCCTCATTTTTCGCTGAGTTTTTTATTGTCGCTCAGCAGTTCTCTTATCACGCACTTGTAGCTTTTACAGATTTCTTATATTCTCTTAATTTATATATAATATATATAAACATTTGTTTGATTTTTATTAATTTATTTTATTTATTTAAAAATAACCGCACTAAAAAACAAAAATCTGGGAAACAGTATATTGGTGTTCATTAACACTTATTTATATTCAAGCAAATAAATGAAAATATAACAAATTCTATATCTTCYAATAATTACCTGCAGTTTAGAAAATTATATATTGCTTACAATTTTCAGAAATTGATGAGCWTCCCGATTCGTCGTCCATTCTGGTCTTCTCAACCAAATACTTATCCCACAAGATTTCCCGAAATGCCTCCAAGGTTTGAAGTTGCTTGCTCTAGGAGCTAATGTTGTCTAAAAATAGTCTTATATACTAATGGAAAATCTTTCAGCGCACTCTTACAATATAACTGGACATAGATAACAGAACCGTATACTCGTATAAGATCGTTGTTATTAGTTGTTGTACAGAAAATAATATAACGATTAAATTTATTTTATTTAGTTCAGAAAACATTTTTATTTATTATGTACTCTAACTGTTGTTAACGGAAGTTCTTTATTCGTCAAGTTATCAAAAATCATTTATCAGTAGAAACAATTTAAATCCAAAGGATTTTTGTAAAGCGCTAAAACATCATCAGCTTCTATAACTTAACAAATTGTTTGGTACCACTTTTTAAAAGGACAGATACAGTTACGTGTTGTACCAACTTAAATCGGTTAACACATTTGTTTATCTAAAAGGATTTTCTACGCCGGTATTAAAAGCAACCACAAATATTTTTTTATTGTTGTACGAATAATTATTTTCATATTTCAATAATATATATCGTCAACCGAAATGCAAAATAACGTAACATTTTCAGAAATTTACAGTGGCATGAAAGAAACACGAAATAAACTGGAAGAGTGAAAAATAATTTATTATTGGTTAAAACTGGTTTATATCTGAAAATGTTGGACATTTGTAACATTATGTACTATATGTAATTTGAAGTGGTGAATCGTAATCAATAAGACACTAAATTTCGAATTTYTTGAKGATACGTTATTTTGCATTTCAGGTGGCGATATATTACTGATGTATAAATATATGCATACAGAGACTCAATGTAAAGCTATTGCTTATAAAACTAACTAATTATAATCAATGCATTGGTTATTTGCTACCTTTTGTGAAAAAATGTACGTTTTATTTTATTTATGGACTTTAATGATCTATAATTGCTTTAGAAATCTATATTATGCCATTTTTGCCGACCAAATACATTGGTTTATTTTCATTTTTACAATTTATTTTGCCTAATATCTAAGAAATAAGTTTTTGTAGAAACATCGCAATGTTTTTAACTAATTTTGAAGCTCAAGCGGGTACTATTATCACTAGACAGCAATTAATGTATACTCAAAASATGATTCCTTATATCAAAAAATTTTATTACAATTCAGAAAGCGTCTCCTTTTCCTGATTTTTATAACTGTATGYCAGAATATTAAAGCTTTCAAAGTGCTAAAACATAAACGACCTTAGTTTACTTTGACGGCGATTCTATTACAATAAATCACTTTGATTATTATTAATTTGTTCATTTCTTCAGTCATATTTAATATCAGTCAGAACAAAAAAACCTACACTGAATTTCAGTTTGAAGATTATAGTTCTACATTATTGAGATTAGAACCAGAGGATGATGGTAGGTCAACATCACAGGGTGGCACAAAGGTGCCCATTGATACAACCGATTTATTCTTTTCCGCTAATTTTAACATTTCTGATTTCAGTTTGTCAAGAATAGCGTAATTTGGCTGATTTATCGCAGCTTTGCTTTGCAATACCGTGATCTCCTGCTCCTCCAGCTTTTTTTCTTTGAACGTCTTTATTGAATTGTTGCCGTACAGACGCAACAGGGAGCCCCATGTCTTAATATGTGGATGTAAAATCTGAAAATTTAAAATGGCATTTTAATGAAAAATATTATAAAATACTTCAAGGAAAATGATAATAAAAGTTTTTAAGAATTTGTAAATACCGAATTATTTGAAAAAACGCACCTGTAAAATCGCTTGTGAAGCCAGCTGTTTGCCCTCACGCTTATTCTTGCATAACACTTTGGCCGTGTGTTTGCCCACGGTCATGGTAAATTCATTTTTCTTATTTTTCGTGCGGTTAATTTCGTAATTTATCTGCACATCGCCGAGACCAAAATTCCGTTGAAGACAAGTCAACAATATAGCATGCGGTGAGGGCTCTGTTGTCTTATTACAAAACTCGGCTACACGTGGATCTTGTATTTTGATATCGTCAAAAACCTAATTTGTTGAAAATAATGGAATATTATTTACTCATTACAAATATTTTAACTATCTACATAATAAAATTAACTCACTGATAAATCTTTGTGATTATTTTTCGGTGCATTCTTATCTTGCTTAATACCCGTAATTTTGTCCTTCATTTCTGGTATAAGTATCTCTAATGTTTCACGCGCAGCGTCTGATTTGGCCTGTTTTTTACTGGTGCCATAACCAGTGCCATATTTCAAATCGTTGATTGACACCGTTGCAGAGTAGGGCGTTGCTGCATTTTCCAATTCTTTGAATTCATATGTTGGCTGCTTTTTCAACGCATGCTGCACATACTCATGCAAAATACAGACATAACTTTTTCCATTCGGATTCATAATCCATTCTTTTCGACCACGCGTRTTCGCGTTTGTATCACCACTTGGCGCCAATATTGGGAATTTAATTAGTTTCGTACCATCCGGCAGAGTCGGCCGTTGCAAATTTTTAATGTGTTTTCGATTTTTTGTAAATTTCCGTCGCGCATTCCAGGAACGAAAACGTAAAACACGTATCACTTTGAATTTGAATAGTTTCGCGCAGTATTGGTTCAATTGTTCGGGAGTGAGTGACTCCTTTTGTGTATTCTCAGTGACGGTCACAATTTTCGCAGGCGGCACTAGGCTCTTTAATGTTGCAACATTAGCCGCCAGATCTGCCGCGTTCGCTGATGTTGGTGCGATGGCTGTAGGTGTATCAGATATTGCTGTTGCAGCAGGTTCACTTATGTCCATCTCTTTTCCATTCGTAGAAGATGAAACCAGCGCGAACTGACTAGAGTCTGTAGAAACAACTGCGCTAACGTTGGCACCAACATACGGACATTTAGGAACTTTAACAGTGTTGGTTTCGATTACCTCTTCTGCTTGCATCGCTGAATTTTTTTCAGCGGTTTTATGGTTCAAACGCTCCGTCTCCTCTTCGTCAATGGCTCGTCTATAATTTAGGCAAGGAATTGCGCCCAATGGAATGGCATGTTTCTAGGGATGAAGTAAGGTTTAAATAATACAAATGGTCTACGTATAGAAATATATATATAATATTGGGAGAAATATATATATAAGGCTATACAATTTATTAGTCAATTGTTTTATAGTGCCAGTTAATGTGTTTTCTTGTGGCATATATTAGGTTGTCAAAAAAGTCTTGCGGTATTTTCGCTAGTTGGCGTTGAGAGCGCGTAGTTCTAGTTTTATTCGTCGCATCGGGTCATGCTATACCTTTTTTTTAAAGCTCCTTTCACGCGCTAACACGTGTTTGATTGATTGACGTTTCTTTTAAGTCGTTCGTGAGTTATAGCGTCGCAAACATGGAGCAAAATAAAGAGAAAATACGGCATATTTTACAGTACTACTACGATTAAGGCAAAAATGCATCTCAAGCCGCCAATAAAATTTGTGCAGTTTACCCGATACAGTTTCCATTTCTACCGCACAACGTTGGTTTCAACGTTTTCGTTCTGGTGTAGAGGTGGTCGAAGAGAAAATTGCGATAAAATCGCTGAATTGATCGAAAGAGACCAATACCGCAAGAAATACCGCAAGACTTTTTTGACAAACAATATATATAATTTTTCTGAAATTCCGTTTATTATCTTACCCTTACGCTACCGTGTCCAAGAAAGTATGGTCTTGACGCCGACACGACACGAGATTGTTTATGTAAAAAGAGAGGCATACCGCTGTTATGTGTAACTTGTACCCAACCTTCCGGCAACACTTCAAAATGATTGTGGCCTTTCTCTAAATTCATAATTTATTTAAATAATTGTTCATTATAATAACACATTTCGCACTAACCTTCTAATACTGTTTTAAATCGCTCTTCATATTTGGGTTTTTTAGGCTCCTTCAAATCATCAGGTAAATTTTCGTTAAGTAAATTTTCAATTTCATTGTCATCTATATCCAAATCAGAGGATTCATATCCGTCACCATTATCAAAATTTGTATCGCCATTTTCACTTGCAATTTCTGACAAGGAAAATAAAAATGGATAGATGAGGAAGTAAGTAAAGTATATACAACAAACTACGGTCAATATGTGGTAAGGGTTTAAACACAACTTACCAGAATCTTCAGATCCTGATCCCTGTACTTCGTCCAATACTTGAAACTGACGCAATTGCTGATCCAGTGTTCCGCTTTGGTTGTTCTCCTCAACACGAGTTTTCATTTCTTCTATAGCGCTTAGAGAGAAGCCTTTTTCTTTCATAGCAGTTGCCTGCTCGTGGAGAGCCTGTTCATCGAGCCGTATTTTTTTGACGAGTTGTGGCGACGTTGAAGGCGATGGCAAGGAATGCTGAATAGAATCACTTTCGCTAGACATTGTTTATAATTTTTTGGAAAAGTATAATCTATATACTGTTTTTCTTTTTCTTTGTGACTTTCTTTACTTATCAAATGTCGACTAAAGGCTGCTCTTTAAAACATCCAACCTGATGGAATCCAACTTTTGCAAATATTTTGTTTTTAGAAATTGGATTGGTCACATTGGTTATTTCAGAACTAGCCTCAATTAATACACCTGGCTTTAAAAGTATCKTAATTCCAACGTTGTAATAAAATTTGCCTGAAGCAACTTTCGCAATGGATTCTGCTTTAAAATTTGTATTTATCTTAAAATACACGAAACCACTGCAAAAGTACTTCTTAAAGCTTAATTTTTAAATCAAATGTATTTGTCATAAACCGCGATATATTTGTTTGAAATGAAAATAAATTGAAGAGTTTTTCAGTTATATCGTTTTACACATAAGTATATTAGGGATTGCATTTATATACTTATCGTCTTTATATATCGTACAATCATCATCTGAGTGCCAGTGTTGGAAACCGCTCAGAAAATTGTCTTATATACAAAATATTAATTTTTTTCTAACAAAACTCCTTTAACAAAAATAAAATYTTTTATTATATGCAGCGATTAAGAAAATATTCACGTAAAACTTAAAAATTCAAATTGTATAAAATGGGACATGTTCGGAAAGGTCTATCTTTGAATTAAAATCACAGCAACACTGCCTAGCGACAGTTTCGTTGCTCTGTCATCGGTAGAAAAAATCCAGGCGTCGTGTGTAAAAATTTTCTTTGTATAAGATAATTTAAATTGGATAAAAACAACTAAATTGGTGTTACACCATAGTGAAAATTTTTTTAATAGTCAACAAATTACACTTGTTGAGAGGTATTGTGGAATTAAACAATTTCGGTAAGAGCATCTGTTTAAAATCGATTTGTGTTTATATATCACATCACCGACTGGCGGTGTTATTGAACCAATAGAACTTCATTAACGACTAAAGGATATAAGAATTCATCGTATAAAAAATATATATATAATTTTTTTTTTAATATCATTTTAAGTTACTTCTCCAATTGGTCATTGGACACACGAAAGAACTTATCCATTGCAACAAAATGGCCCATTCGTTGCATACAGAACGCAGCATTCACGAGATGCTGAAAGATACACCGCCGATGAACGAAAGTGGTAGTGCAATACATAGTGGAACTGAAGGCCGGCCGTTTATGCCCCCAAATAGTCTACCACTGCATAATCACTCAGGTATATTTTTTGATTAAAACTATCAGAAATTTTCACCTAACATAAGTTTCTTCAGCGCCCGCTACACCGACAACACAAACCAGCCCACAGAACGGCATGGACGCCGGACTTTTACGTACGGGGGCTTCAAAAATCGACAGTATAAAGAACTGGAGCATATCAACTTACAAATGTACTCGACAGATTATGTTAGAAAAATTAGGTAAATCGCAACGTACTGTTGACTCAGAGTTGGAAGCGCAGATTGAACAGTTGCGAGAAACACAACGGAAATATTTATCTTTTTTACGTCTGACGCGAGCTTTCAGTTCTCATTTTCATCATGTAGTAGCAACTCAACATGCATTGGCCGAGGCATTTGCTGATCTAGCACAAAAAAGTCCAGAACTACAAGAGGAATTTACATGTAATTCTGAAACGCAACGAAATCTGACAAAGAACGGTGAGTTGCTGCTGAGTGCTCTGAATTTTTTCATTTCATCAGTGAATACATTGTGCAATAAAACTATCGATGATACGTTACTCACAATCAAGCAATATGAAATAGCCAGGTACGACAGAATATTTACCATAATTAAACTTCATAATACGAATTCTATATTTTTAGAGTGGAGTTTGACGCATATCGTATGGATTTAGAAAACACAAGACCTGAATTGCCACAGAGTCCTGTCGCCGAAGAGGCGCAGAAAAACTTTTCTCATCATAAGGAACTTTATGAAAAATTACGTGCCGATGTAGCCGTGAAAATGCAATTTCTAGACGAAAATAGAGTTCGTATCTTACATTTGAATGTTCATAATATAATAATCATAAATTTCATAACCGTAAAGTACCTAATTATTTTCATTATAGATTAAAGTGATGCATAAACAGCTAGTATTACTTCATAATGCTATAGCTGCTTATTTTTCGGGAAATGCGGTTGCTCTGGAGAATACAATGAAACAATTTAACATAAAAGTGAGTTTAGAAATTTTGTATAATTCTATATAAAATAATTGTTTAAAATTTTCAAGTTGAAGGCGCCCAATGCCACGACTGGATCCTGGTTAGAGCAGTAGTATTGCTAAATGCCCGTCCATGTAAACAACCAAAAGTTTTAAGCACCTTACATTAGAAAATGTCTCATACATAAAAATCATCTTCGATGAACTAAATATTGAAAAAGAGCACAGTTTTTCGGAGAGCATCAAGTAAACTTTTTCGCTTAAATGGATGTTAATGTACTGGTCTGGTATTTACAACATATTTATAAGAGTTTCAATGTGTATTCTTCAATGCTTTTAGGTGTTTTTCAATAATTCGAAAGAAAAAAGTAAAACAATAAGCTTTCAATAGCGAAAAGAAATGTAAGCGAAAAAGTTGCATTACATATTATACGTAGTTATTATAAGAAAATCCAATATAATAGTTCCTGGTTTTCCCCCGAACTATTTGAATAGAAATGTTAGGTGCACACCATAAAATACTAGTTTTCAGAACAATATAAAATTTAAAGATGATTTACAATTTAAGAAATATAACGTTTTCATTAACTTGTACAATCAGTTGGTTAGACAGCATTTCTCCTACAAACTATGAATATTAATTTAATATCTTTTAGCACTATCATTTATTTTCTATAAATTATTTCATCATTTGTTATTAAAATTATTTAACTGTTGATATGTATACACTATATTAGAAATTATTTATTTTGCTGGTATCTTTTAATGTAGAATTAGGCAGAGATGAGGGCCTATATTCCATATACATACACATATGTAAGTGCAGTATTGAACGAATATTAATATTTTTTAACTCCAATAATGTTTAAATTTTAGAAATAAGCTGAATAAAAATTTACTACTGCAAATAAATATTTAAAATATGTATGTGTAAGATAAGCCAGAAGGCGTAATTGTTTACTCTAGTCAACATATATTTAAAATATATATAAATATATTACAGAAATATAGAAATCTTTTTACAAAAGAAACTGAATTCTCAGTGCTTTTCCAACTTCATATCTTTCATTTTATCATTGAGCACGGTCTCTTCATCTTCCTCTGCTTGAAACATTGTCTATTACGTATAAATAAAATTTAGTGTTACTCATCATTAATCATTTCTGAGCACAGTTTATCACTTACCGCATCATATATTACTTTAATAATGAGGGAACAACTGGGGCAAGTAGCTACTTCTTCGCCCTCCATAAGTTCTTCCTTAAAAATATAGAAATATACATATAAGATTTTCAATATTCCTTAAAATATTTTAGTACCTTGGTTATCTGAAATCGATCGCCACACGGACATGGGTAGTAATAAACCTCTTCTTCTTCGTCATATTCCATGTCTTCGATTTCGACCTCATCGTGATAAACACTCATTTTATATTATTATTTTCACATAATAAATTGGGTTAAAAATATTAGTAATTATTACTAAAATTCACGTTGCTGAAAATTGCAATAACAACAAGAAAAGCATGTTGATGAAATTGCTGTCATTTGTTCTATTAGCACTGTTCGTTTTGACAAGTTGACATTTCTGAATTGCTTACAGAGAACGTGCATTTATGTGTAATGTACGTTCTCTGTTGCTTATGCAAAAGTTGGTAAACATTCTTAAATCGAACAAGTCTTTATGGAAGAATTTTAAAAAACTTCAAAGAAAAGAAATTAATAATCAAAACAAAATTGAGAAATCGATTTTAATATAGTAATAATTGATTTGATATTTAAAAACAATGTCTGCTCTTAAATTTGGTGATACAAACCTTTACGTACTCCTTGGGATAGATTTAGAAGCTGAGCAATCTGATATACGAAAAGCTTATCGCAAAAAAGCACTTGAATGCCATCCTGACAAAAATCCGGACAATCCCAAGGCGGCAGAACTTTTCCATGAATTATCGAAAGCCTTGGAAATACTCACTGATGCGTCAGCTCGCGCTGCTTATGACAAAGTGTTAAAAGCTAAAAAAGCAGCAGAATTACGGAATAAGCAGTTGGATAGTAAACGACAAAAACTGAAAGCTGATTTGGAACAACGCGAACGGGATGCACAACACAAACTGCAGAGTACACAACCATATGCCACGGTATCCAAAAGTGATGAAGAAGTGCTGCAAGACCAAATTGAGCGGCTGCGTCGTGAAGGTTCTAAACTACTGCAAGAGGAACAACGTTTAATGCGAGAACAATTACTGCGTACAATCGTTGAAAACCAGCAGGCACAGATCGAAAAGTCGTTTGACTCTTCTGCGCATAGAATTAAAATTAAATGGAAATCGGATAAAAAAGACGACGACAACGGTGGATACACACCAGAAATTTTACAAAATTTTCTAAAGAAATATGGAGAAGTTGTCGCATTGGTAATGTCAAAGAAGAAGGGCAGTGCACTTGTAGAGTTTAAGACTCTTGAAGCTGCCGAATTAGCATTGTCCTATGAAAAGGGTCGTCTAGCAAATCCACTACATMTTGAATGGGTAATACCACCTACGACAAAAGGAACTGATAGACAGATGGGGTCTTCTCTTRATTATGAAGATTTGGTTATGCGCAAACTTCGACAAGCTGAGGAGCGGAAAAGGCTGATAGCACAAATGCAAGCTGAAGATGAAGCAGAAGGATAATGAATTAATTTTAATTCAAAATGTATAAGAATAATAAAGTAAAATAGAGTACATTAGATTTAATATATTTTTGCTAAATTCAGAAAAATAAGACAATCTAATCCTATTTAGATTGATAAATAGCAAAAATGTGATGTGTTTTATTTAAAGTTAACTTTTTWATATGAAACATTTTGTCTGGTTTGTAACCCCAAATGATGACGACCTATACAATTTTACCTTACCTCATGTGGGAGACTAAACTTGATAGACACGTCATATCGTGAAAATATTTCATTCTTATTATCATGTCACATAACGATTCAGGATAATTATACACCTTCCTATGATGCATTAATGATAGTTTACCCGACTTTTTGTTGATATTCGTTGCAAAGGTATCCTGTAGGGGGTTTCTGTTTCCTATTGGAAGATGGAGTATCCTTGATTTTACATTTCATTATTTGTGTTTTAGTGTATTTTGTTGGCGGCCATCTCATCCTTTTCTTCTCCCTGATTTTTGGGGTCAGTGTTTCTGCAACCATTGATTTACGTTTATATCATTTAACCCTAGCATCACTCATTTGCCTTTCTTGGTTCGGCTTATTCCCCACGTATTCCTAGGCGCACCTGACGTCAGTTAGGCAGGAGGTACTCGTTGATTTATTAAAAGCCTCTTTCAAATTGACAAACTATTTGTTTAAATGGCAACACCCTTTTTATTATTGAAGAAAAAATAAATAAACAAAATCATGATCATCAGCTGTTTTCTGTCGACGTAAACGATATAGGCTACAAATTATTTATTTGGTAAAATGTAAATTTTTTCCATACAATGGACCGTAATAAACGTGAATTAGAGACTTTGGTGTCTTCACAAAAGGAGCAGCTAATTCGATATGAAAAGCGCTTAAAAGGTAACTATGATAATATTAGAAAAAATGCAAAAAATTGTATAATTTCACAACCAACAGATGTGGTCACCGCATATAAGGGCTTGTTGAAAGAAAAGGAAGCTCTTGAATCAAGCTTGGCTGCACTAACAACTTCGAAAGAAACAAATAATGAAAAAGCATCTTCAGATGTCTCCTCAAGAGGCATTTCAGACGCTGTCGATGCAAAAAAGGTTGACGACACCGATATAGCACCCCCTGATGATTCAAGCTGTGTGATAGATGAAAAACAACAATTACAATCACAGATCATGACATTGATGAATTCATTAGCTACTTTATCAGCAGAAAAGTCACGGATGGAAGCATCCTTTCAGGCTGATAAAAAACATTTACGAAGCCAATTAACACAGAAGGATGATTGCATCGCCGATTTAAAGAAGACGATTAAAGAGAATGAAGTTAAAGCTAAGGCTCACCTTGATGAAATTAAGGCAAAGTGGATAATAGAATGTCAGGAGCGGGAAAAAGAAACAAATAATCAGATGCTTATGATACGAGAGTTACAAAAGCTATATGCTGATGAAAGACATCTGAAGGAAAATATTGAAATGCAATTAAACAATTTCAAAACACAATTTGCCAATAATGAAACAGAGAATGTCCGAATACGCGAACTACAAGCACAACTAAGAGAGACCAAAGCACAGTTGAAAGAAATGAAATTGGGAGGTAATAGCTCGCAGCTTGCCGCGAAAGATACCGGTGACCTTACAGATAATATGATTATATTAAAACAAGTACAACAACAAATGCAACAACTTAAGGAACAACACGCAGTTGCTATAAAGAATGAACAGCGACGTGTGCTGCAAGCAGAAGACCAAAGTAGACGCCAAGCAGCTTTACACGAAGATCGTGTTGCCAATTTAGAGGAGCGTTTAGCCGAGCTAAGTGCAACCGTTGGAAACTATGATCGTCTACGACAACAGGACCAACAAAGCATACATGTGCTGCGAAAGAAGCTACAAGAGTTAGAAAGAAGTTCTGATTCACAATCGAGTTTGCCAAGCGAGCTAAACTCTTTCGATGTGGATCATTCTCGACGTAAGAAAAGTAATGTAACCTATGATATTTCAGTTATAGTTGATGAAATTATACATCTGAAAAAGTTGTTGTTGGCTGAAAATTCGCGTAGTACAAATCCTGTCGATATAAGTAAATTATTTTCAGTCAGCGCGGATCATACACAATGTCACGAGGAATTAGCTAGTTTACAACATCAATACGACTCTTGTAAGACCGAACTGACAAAACAACAAGAACGTTTACATAGCCAAAAAACGCATATTTCTACTTTGCAAGAAAAAGTAAAAGTGCTGAATCGTAATATCGATGAGCAAGAATTAGATCTAAAAAACCAGGCGGAAAAGATGAAAAACGCTATTAAAGAAGAACGTGCTAAGTGGAAAAATAAATTAAGTGAGTTGGAGAATGAGAAACGTTGTAAAGTGGTTGATTTGGAACAGCAATTACAAAAGCAAAGACAACGATCCTTGCAACTGCTCGATGAAAAGGAACAAGAAATAAAAACATTGCAGACATCTTTTGAAATTTTTAATAATGTAACGATACCGACGACCGTTGACGCCCATTCTGATAACTTGGCCACTTCAGCATCTGATGCTGAGAGTAATGATGGAGTTAGAGCAGGGAGTGTCAACACACAATTAGGCTCAAAGGTTCCAATTAAATCGAAAAAGCTTTCAGTCGGTGAAAATTGTCATATGTTACACTACGCCAATGAGATAGCTCGGAAAGATATCGAAATAGCTGCATTGCGAAAAGCAAAATACGTTGCTGAGTCAAGTTTGCGGAAGGCTATACAAGAAAAGGTGAACGCACAGGAGGATCTCTGCGATAAGATAGCGTTACTTGAGGAGCAAGTCGACAGGTCAATATACAATTGGGAACAGAAATTGACCATTTTTTACCAATTAAAACTATATATTTTATTTTTTAGGCTGGAGCGTTGTAAAACACGAGAGGGAGCCAATCTTGAATATTTGAAGAACGTGATGATTAGTTATATTGTAACACGAGATCCAGATGGCAAGCGGCATATGTTGAATGCTATAAGTGCTGTGCTGCAGTTAACACCAGCAGAGATGCAAACGATTAATAACGCATTCCAAAAATAATAAAATCTTCCAAAAATCCAAAACAATATATTGTTATCAGTATCAACATTTGTAACAAAACAAAAGTTTAATAAACAATCTAATATATACCTATTATTTAAACAACACCTGAACAGAATTGTTTTCATATTAATAAAAGCCACTGATTGGAAACTTTTTCAGGTGTTCTTTCAATACGGCTGGAAATATCGAAAAGAATTTAAAACGTCTGCCCATTTGTTCCGGATCTGTCAACATTTTATAACCACTTATAATGGCATCACGATTTTCAGGCAAAGCGTTTGAAAGCAAATTCTGTGGAATATAAATTTTGGCATTGAATACAAGAGAGTAATTAAATGCCAATAGTTACATTAAAGTTTCATTACCTCAAGACGAGCCACGCCTTCCATTTTTTTTAAAAAGCTGCCTTGCTCAACAGGCCCAAAGCAAAGTACTTTGCCATTTTGTTCTGCAACGCGTTTTATTTGTCTGAAGTCCACATCAGCCGTTAGATCCGCTGTGCCAGGAGCTAGTAGTGGTTCATGTAGTTGATGACTTTTGAAAGCCTATATAAATAGGTTATATGAATTCAAAAAATAAAACAACATGAACTTTCCTCACTCTGAATGTGTCTCCTTTTTCACCAAAATGACCATAATCCATTATTAACGCAATACCACCATCACTCTCAAACCTATTCGCTATGATATTAATAATACGATCTGTATCTAAAGAATACTCAAGGCAATCACGTGTCTCTCCAGTAATTGACGTGAACAGATGTGATACGGGGGTCTGTGATTTTGAGATTACATAACGAAACTGTTGTTTATTATCGAAATCGTTGCTATTATTTTCATTGACATCAATTAAGACTTCCTTCCAATATTTTTCATCTCGTTGTAGTTTATGCACTGGCAAAGCATCGAAGAATTCGTGTGCCAAAATTATGGAGAATGCGTTTGGGACATCCTCCAATCGCTTGTGCCAGAATACTTTCGTACCAGTTGCTGTTTTACCCGTCAAGTAGTGAGAAGAATTTTCGTCGTTTACAATCTCGCTGCTAAAACAAAGATATTGAGCTTGCACTTTGCTTAAATAGGGACTTATCTCCACCATATGCATAGAAAATTGTCCAGCGAGTTTAAATTGTGTCAAGACTTTTAGAACATCGCGTGACAATGTACCCCGTCCCGGCCCAAGCTCAACAACTTGAAATGGTGTTGGACTGCCCAGTTTTCGCCACTCACTTACAACCCAAACAGCCACTAGCTGTTATAAAATATTAAAATGTGTATCAATAATATACAAATATACGAAAGAGGTATACCTCGCCGAAAATTTGGCAAATTTCCGGTGATGTGATAAAGTCTCCTTCGCGTCCGAAAACATCCCGATTCATGTAATATCCACTTAAGGGATTGGTTAGCACTTCGCGCATATACTCCGCTACTGTAATCGGTCCTGTTGCTAATATTTTGGCTCTTAAATGTTTAGTTAAATCATTTGGTGCTTGAAGTTCATCTGGTTTTGACTCCACCTGTGGCGCCGTCAATTTTCGAGATAATATTGCAGTATCCGGTCGACGCACTGCTTTGTAGCTGTAGTTTCGACAATATCGAGAATTAGCAGCCAAACAGCCAAATAAGCAATTTAACGATCGTTTACTCATAGCAAATAGTATTTATTTGAACTTTTAAGGTGCATAACTTTTGCACAATTTTTAAAGTGTTGCTTCGTCGTAAGACTTGACATTCTGTTGTGGTTTTGATATGAGGGTTTCCTCAAAATATTTTCTTATATACTATACAGCAATTATGAAGTCAAACCATCTTGTAAATAACAAATGAGATATTGCAAAAACAAGTGTAAAGCATAACACTAAAAACTTTAAAAAATCTTATTTTATTATTCATGAATTTGTATATTGTATTCATGAAGAAAGATGTTGGCAACACTACATATATAAATATTTTGTTTTATTTACATTTTGGTTATCAACAAATACGAGTTGTATATTATATTGATTATTAGTAGATATAAAACTCAAAAATAAAAAATAAGTGCTTAAGATGCGACAAGATTTGAAACTATGCAGGCTTTGTACGGGGTGCTGTGAAAACAAAACCACSACTTCGCTCTTTGACAGAAGTAGAAAATCTGAACTTCGAAGGATATTCCAACTTACTAACATCCAGGTACGAAAATATATTTGAGAATATTTCCAATAAGTTTTTTTTGTGTTTGTTACAGTTAAAAAATCTCAGCAATTTACCGTCCGCAATGTGTTCAGATTGCGAAAAAGAATTGGAACGGGCTTACGAATTTCGTAATCGTTGCATTTCTGCGCAAACATATTTTTCCAGTTCAGAATACATGTGTCATTTCGATCCGAGACATAGACAGAAGAAAATTTCCGGTGATAACTCTATCAAGGAATCTACTTCAGTAAAGGTTGAATTTTTGTCATATACTAAGGAAAATGAAAACAGGCATATGCAAATTGCTAACTCCATGGAAAAGGAATCTACTTCAGTGAAGGTTGAATTTTTGTCATATAATAAGGAAATTGAAACATGTGATTTGGACTTCAATACACATTCGGATACAACAGATTTACACCTTACAGGAGAAAGTGAATGTAATTTCGATGCGCTTAATGAAGGTGATATGGTGCAAAATGATGACCAAGTAGAGTTGGAAAATCAATCCTTGAAAAATTCCGACCACGAAMTGTTGCCATCGAATAAAACAAAAGCAGTATTGGAAGAAAATCAGAAAAAAGATAGAGATCAGGAAGAAATTATCTCTCAGACAGTTAAGTCAGACAACAATGGGGAAGATCCACAGAGCGATGATAATCAGAGAACAAAAGCTAAGGAAGAAAAGGAGTATAAACCACGAACATATATATGTGATCAATGTGGTAATAATTTTAAGTATCGTAGCCATTTTTATTCACATATCAAACGACATGCTGGAGTAAAGCCTCTACAATGCGAGTAWGTTTATTATAGAACTTGAATATAATAAGCGTATTTATTACAATTAATTTCGAATTGCAGAGTTTGTCCGAATAAATTTTTTACCGAGGGCGAACTTAAGCGACATATGCGCCGACACACCGGTGAACGTCCATTTCCTTGTCAGTATTGCGAGCGCCGTTTCACGGACTATAGTACAAGAATTAAGCATGAGCGGTAATTCCTTACAAAAAACATACACATTTATCTCACTGGACTCAAATACTGTTACATTTTAGTACACATACAAACGAACGTCCATTTGGGTGCTCACAATGTGGTAAAGCGTTCACAACATCATATGTTTTAAAGAACCACATGCTTGTGCATACTGGAGAACGCTCCTTCAAGTATTTATATTGTAAAAAAAAAGAAGAAATTAATTCTAAGTATGTTTTTTTCAGATGTACGCTTTGCAATAAATCTTTCCAACGGCAAACGCACCTTATCGTACACACACGTTCTCTGATCCACAAACAAAACGTTGAACGCCAACAACAAACAACTCAAAAAGTGAAATGTTTTTCACTAACAAAACCATCTTCGAACACTTAAAAACGAAGTGAATTCACTCATTTAGTTCGAAAAGTTCTGAATGTAGTGTAGACAAATGCTGATGCGTGAGAAAATATAATTTTAAGGGCTATTAAATTATTATTTTTTAATCCAATTGTTTATTCAACGAAGTGCGGTTGGAGGGCGCATTTCATTAACTACAAAATGATTTCGTATGAAAGTAGATCATAACCGCTATTTATGTAATTTACATGTTAGATATATAGTTACTTAAATGTACCTTTTAATTATGTATATATTGATATTTAAGTGTAAAGAAATATACAAATGTATGCATATCGAAGCAAAATCAAATTATTCAGTATTTATGTATACATCGCTATCTTGTTGTTCAGCATCCTCATCTACCTCTTCAATATGCCTTTCACAGGTTTGATCAATTTCTTCCTCTATCATATGTGAAACAGAAAGATTTCTGTCCGCTTCGCGTTGTGTAATAGTGGTAATATGTTGATTAGGATTGATTTGTTGCAGCAAATCCTCCACTTTGATATTCGTGGAGCTAATTGTGTGAAGGGTTTGATGGTGGTTTATGTTAGAAACATGCTGATTAGGCTCATCTTCTTGTAGCATATGTTGCACTTTCACGTCCGTTGTAGCAAGATTTCTGACTGTTTGCTGATGTGTTATAGTTGCAATATGTTGATCYAGTTGATGTTTACGTGAGAATGTCTTATTACATGGTATACACCTGTATATAGTTACAACGAAACACAATCATTTTTTGTTTTATAGAAATATTTATGGTAAAATTACACTTACGGGAATGGTTTTTCGCCGGTGTGAGTTAACATATGATTTTTCAGAACATTAGAATAAGTGAACGATTTACCGCATGTTTGACAAGTGAACGGACGTTCATTTGTATGTATTCTGTTTAAAGAAATTATGTAGATTACAATTTAAGATTGTTAATTAATTTTTGAAATAAACCTTTCATGTTTTATATTTGTACTCCGATCAGCAAAGGTTCGTCCACAATATTTACAAATGTAAGGTTTTTCTCCAGTGTGCACACGCATATGACGTCCAATTTCGGAAGGGCATGCAAAAGTTTTCCCACAAATTCTGTAATCAAAATAAAATAAGAAAAAGGTTGGTCTTTGTAATGTATTAAATGGTAATGTACTTCACTTACTCGCATTCGAAAGGCTTTTCGGCCATATGACGTCTCATATGCATTTTTAACAAATTACGTTTCGAATATATGTTCCCGCATATCTCACACATTATACTTGCAACTTCAGGTTCTTCCTTCTTTTTTCTGCCTCGGTTCGATTTTTTACCACTATTTAATTCCGATTTTAATGAGATCCCCTCGGGTTTTGTTTTTGGCCGTCCTCGTTTACGAACCAAATTGTCGCTAGTTACTGGCTGTCTTTGTATATATGTTGGCGTAATAGCCTTCTTAATTATGGATTTAGGCAATTCTTCATCAAAATATTCACTATCCGTGTATTCAATAAATTCCTCAGCACTTTCAGTATTGGGCTCCATATCAGATTCAAGCACCTCCTCTTCAACGGTTTCAGTAATATCCTCTAGATGCACCTCTTGTGCATCAATGAATTCTGTATGCATATCAAAGTAGATTTCGTCTTCATTATCTTCTTCATGTTTAGATATGATTTGAGCGCCCTCATAGTCTAATGGTTCTGTCTTCATTTCCGACTGAATTATATATATGAAACAATTATAATCACGATTAAATTAAACTTACAATCTTTCTCTATTACCTTTACTATAGCATCCAAAAGTGCGTGTTCGCTTGCTTGACACATGGAACGGAACTTAAATGACACATTCAACTTTTCTAGGCACTGCACGCAAATCATTTTTGGAAACTCTTCGTGTGGCTTCAACTGTTGAACACCATAATTTATATACTGTGATAATACAAGGTAATTAGGCATAATTCTTACGACTATTCCACCACAAACTTCTATTTGCTGTACAATTTCGCTGCATGTATCATCTTCGGTTTCAAACAGAGGTTGCATTTTGCTGGTGTTAATATCCTCCGTTAAACAAATGCGACATAAATCGTAAACATGCATTATTTGAATATTTTTTGTTTTTSTTTTTCTTTTACTTTTGGATTTGCTTTATATTTATTTAATCACAAAATATTTTACTTGATCGATAGCATAATACGCGTATTGTTAACTTTGTGTATGTGTGTTACAAAATGTTTTGACAGTAATAAATGTCAAACTCAACGCCATCTCATGGAAAGTGTGAGTCAGATGAAAAATTATTAGTATTATTAAAAATGTATTATATCTCAAAAATGTTTAAATAAGAGTAATAATTAGTTTATAATGTAAATATAAATTATTTAGAAGATAAAACCACTTTTCTAATATTCTTAGATTTTTTCTATTGATATACGTTATTCAAAGACACGAGTTTTATTAATACCGTGTATAAATGTGTATTTTCACATCTCTACCTACTTTTGACAGATTAGCTATCATAATTTGTCGTTTTTATGCCTGAATTTATTTTGTTATTTGATTTGTGTAATTTTCACTTCTAGAAGTAAATAAACAAAATTTTAGTTGATCAGTGCGACACTACTTGAATATAAATAAACTTCAAGCAGGAAAAGAGGAAGATACATCTGGATGCCAGTCATGGAGATCAGCATAAAATGGAATATTTGTCGCGTTTGTTTGGCAGAAGAAGGGCAAAATCATAAAGCAAAATATATTTTGATTGATTCTAAAATCATTAAACAAGTTTATGATATTACTGGTGTGCAGGTTTGTGAACGAATTTTTTTTATATCTTTATCTTAAATAAATCCTAAAATAACCTCCTACAGATGGAAACCAGTGACAACCAGCCAGATAAGATTTGTCGTAAATGCTTGCTTCTACTGAAATATGCATACCACTTTAGAACCACCTGTCGAAATTCGGAAGAATATTTGCAGTCAGTTATTCAAAAGACTAAATCTGCCACGTCCATGTTAAAAATTGATAAACAAAGAGAGCGTTCAGTGGAATTACTAGAAGAAATATTTCACGAGGATGTCGAATTCATTTCATTAAATGAGCAACAGGATCCAGAAGCGGAAGAATATTTTGATACTAAGGAAGATAGTCTAACAAGATCGTTGGCATTATCAGAAAAGATTGGTGATAGTAGAGACAATACTAAACCCCATTTCACAAGTACAACACCCAGTACGTTGTTAGTCTCAAAAAAACAGGAATTTCACAGAAAGGATAGTGCTACGCATACTGCGAATTATGAAGAAAGTAATGATGATAAAAAAAATCCTAACAACAATGCCGATTTGAACTCGGCTGACAGAAATATTAATAAGAAACATAACGAAATGACTGCAAACCAAAAGTTTATAGTTCAAGACGATGAAGAATCGGAAGTGGATGGTGTCTATAGCAATAGGAAAACAAATTATAAGCAGGGACATTTACAAATACCAAATAGAAAACTGGGTAAGGCACAAAAAGGAACAAATTGTTCAGAGCAGATTCTCACAGCTCAAGATTCTGAAGAAGATGAACTAGCGGACTTTGATGACAGTAAAACAAATTCAAAACAAAACTATTTACGATTACAAAAAACTAAATACAATACCGAAAGTAGCGTAGATACTTTGGATGATGCTGATGACAATAAAATCGGTGAAGAGGATATAGTCGATGAGAATAATGAATACAATTCAAATAACGGTAGCAAGGAAGATGACATAGATAACTCAGTAGATACTGAAATCATAATAGACAAATTAAAGACTTTTAGCAATTCACCAACACACGAATCGGAAACAAAACTACAGACCGAAGAGGAGTTGTTCTACTTAATCGAAGAACCCGTTAAAACCGAGGAGTCGTCGAATTCCCAAATTGAAGATGTAGAACTAGATGTTAATGCAGATGCCGGCAGTCCACTAATAGATAATTACGAAGAAATAGATGGTTGTGAAGACGGTGAAGAACCTGAGTATGTTGACGCGGAAACACCGAGATCTGGGGTTCAGATAGAAGAGTATCTAATCGATGAAATCGAAACTGAATCGGTGCTACCACATGAGTTGGAATTAAATGAGGATCAATTAACAAAACGACCCAGCTCAACGACCATTAAAATCAGAGATCGAGCTTCACCGCATGTACGCAGAAAAGGCAATGAATCGTATTTATTTTCCTGTGACGTTTGTGGCAATCATTTCACCAGTCGAAGCCTTAGAAATTATCACATGAGAATACACCGCAAGGAAAAAAATTTTGAGTGCGAGTAAGTAATGTACATTTTAACTGTTTAACTATTATATTTCTATTTTATAGGCTATGCTTTAAACGCTTTACAGCGGCGTGTAATCTAACGGCGCATATGCGTATACACACAGGAGAAAAACCATACGAATGTAAATATTGCTTACGAAGGTTTACGGATCGAAGTACGCATGTAAAACACGAACGGTTTGTATTTTTCGCTACTGCAAGGATAATGCCCCAGTGTATAAACAAAAACTCTTCTCAATGAATTTGCAGGATACACACGAATGAGAAACCTTTCCAGTGCAACATTTGTGGCAAATCATTTGCCTTATCCACTACGCTTCGTACACACGAAAAAGTGCACACAAATGAAAAGCCTTTCAAGTGAGTACAGCTATATACTATGTATAACTTTAGAGTTTGTAACAGAATTATCTTAACATTATATATGTATATATTTATTATTTATATTTTTAGATGCGAGCCCTGCGAGAAATCATTTAAACTGCCCCACCAATTAAAATCTCACCTGCTCACAAACCAACATAAAAACATTGTAACAGCGAATGAGCTGGGGAATTATAACTAAATAAAGTTATTACATATAGCTTATTTCAGACTGTTTTATTAATGCTATGGTTTTAGTATTACTAACAACCAATTTATTGATTAGGTATTAACTTTAAGCAGATGTGCATACGTGTGTGTATGTAAAAAATTAAAAAAAAAGAACAATTTTAAAAAGTAATTTTTGCTTATATTTTATAAACGAAATTAGTTTCCAAATAAAAATTTTGCTGAGCAGCCAACAACGTCTAATTAATATTTTATGCCCTTGGTACACAAATAAATCTATGATATGTACATAATTATATGTATTATGTATTTGTACATATAGTTCGTTTAAACATTTTCATATACATTTTATAATAGAAATCTGCCTTTTATCTTTCGAACTATGTTATGTAATGAAAAGTATGTAAACTAAATATTAAAGCAAAGTATATCTATTCGTAAACAACCTCATATCCCTCAGATACGTAATGCGCTTCCTTCAGCCTATGGGTCATAGTTTGTAAATGTGCTTTTAGCTGATGCTGAAGAGTGAATGCTTTCTGACAAACCATGCAACTGCAAATATAAGTGAATATAATATAAATAAATGGACTTATTAGGTAAGAACGTATCGCATACGAATTTTCTTACTTGAAATCTTTTTTGCCAGTGTGCAATTTTGAGTGGTTCTTCAGTATGGCTGAGTATGTAAAACTTTTGCCACAAACATTACATATATAAGGTCTCGTATTTGTATGTACTCTGTAAATTTACCCATTCTACAATAAAATATGATTTTAAAATAGCATTAGTAATATTACCGTTCATGTCGATGTTTCTCACTACGATCAATGAAGTGTCGATCACAGTATGAACATTTGTAAGGTTTTTCACCAGTGTGACGTCGCATATGATTCTTCAACTCACATATTTGGCGGAACGATTTACCACAGAGCCTAATGAAACAAAAACATTATAATTAACATACTTTTAATTTTATTTTTGTGAACATACTCGCATTCATGTGGTTTGACGTTGTTGTGCAGTGACATGTGATACGCAAAGGTAGCTTTTTTGTTGTATACGTTGCCACARATGTAACACATATACGATGTTGGACTAGGTGGACGACAGATACGTCTTCTACTTACATCCCGTTTTTTAGAAAATTTAATAGTGTTTTGAATTTTTTGCGATTTTGTGCCTTTTTTGTTATTTTCATGGGTTGGCTCAACATCCGTATTGTTGGTTACTATACATTCAGCTTTCTGAGTGAAAATTTTCTCTTCCATTTGTTCTGTCTCTAATTTAACGCTGCGTTCTAAATTATTTTCTGATTCTATAAAATCTGCATCATAGTCTTCATCCACTAATAAACCAAAATCATTATTATCATCGTCATCATCTGTATCGGATTCTAAACTTTCAGAAGATCCATGTACTCTATCACGGTGTACCTGCAATTCTTCCATTAGATATTCTAAAAATTCTGCATCATCGGCGCCTTCTGGGCGCATTCGATCTTCACATAAACTCTCCAGGTAAAGTTGTGAATTCATGCACATTTGTCGAAAGTTATACCATATTCTCGTCATTTCAAAACATTTCCAACAAACCTTCGATGGCATATCGGTTGATTCCCTAATCTGGAATATTAAAAATTAAGGTTTGAATGGTATACAGATTGCAACAAATAAAACACTTACTCGCACACCACAACAATACTCAAATTTTTTACTAAGCTTCAATTTTTTTTGCCGCCCGTTAACGTTTATATCGTTTTCCATAAATAATTCAAACATGCTATCCTCTTCGTTTTCCTCTAAGCAAGTGCGGCATTTCAATATAATTTTATGTTCCATTTTAAAATATTTCTAATTCTACTTGTTTACACAAATGAATATTTTGTTTTTAACAGCAAAAATAAAGACAAAAAATTTAGTATTGRAGGTTTGGATAGAATTGCAAAATCAGCTGATCCGGTTGCCAACTTTTCATAAAAGTTAATTTTAGTATAAGGATCAAATTAGAAAATATTTTTACCTAATTTTTACCATATTTCCAAAACATTTCTATTATATTATGAATATTTGCATATAAGGAGAGAATTAAAAAAAAAATAGAAAACAATGAAAATTTTTTGTAAAAACATCATTAATATTTAAATCTAAAAAAAAAAAACAAATATGTTAAAAATTAAATAAATTAAACCACATAATTACAGATTTCAAGATTTTTACTAGTAAATAATCTTCCCGGCTAAATTGTATGTAAGTTACATCTTTTTACATTCTGATTCATTCACTCTCGTATGAAAACACATCAACGTACATTTATAATAAATTCAATTTGTATTTCAGCATAAAATTTTTTAAACAAAAAATTTATATAAGAAATTCCCTCTACATACTATACTAAGCTACAGGGCATATCTAAACGTAAAATAAAATATAAATTAAGTGCGTCTTTTCTGTACCCTCCCCTTCTTGACGCCGTTTGCTTTCGATGGAGTAGTGGCTGCCTTCTTCTTAGATTTGGTTTTCTTTGAAAAATCATATAGTTCGCTGTCGTCACCATCAGCATATTTTTCAGCTAATTTGTCCAAAAATGAGTTAAATCCATCCTGACGTTCCTGTTGACGCTTCAATATCTGTTTTTGTAGATCGCCCGACTCTAATTTTTGTTTAATCTCTTCCGCCTCTTTCGCCTCCCGGGCATATTTCTTATGACGCCGCTGACGTTTCTGAGATGGCTCATTTGTGAAAATTTTGTATTCAGGCACTTCACCGGCGTCTATCATTTCTTTTATGATTTCTTGCAGACGCGGCTCATCTTTAATATGCAGAAATGGCACTTCAGTCATTATCTTATTTATACAGCCTTTGCTCGATAAATAAGCCTTTTTCATATCGTCTCGTTCCAGTTCAGAACCAACGTAAGAATTTTCGTAATTTATAATATCTTCCTCTGTAACCCGTCTAAATACTTGTCTCCACAAATCCAGCCATGAACTTAGTTTTCCTTCGTCCTCCTCATCAACAATAACACCTTGCTCGTTATATAAATCGCGCTTTTCCTTATCGGAGAGAACCTGATAAACTTTGGACAAAACTTTAAACTTTTCTGTAGCTGTTGACTTTTCATCCTCCTCAACACGATCTGGATGAACTTGTAAAGACATCTTGTAATATGCTTTTTTTATATCTCTGGGCAATGCATTCTTTTCCAAATCCAACAATTTATATAGATCTCGTTCTCCAAACAACTCTTCACACAAATCCAAAAGACCCATTTCACCTTCTTTTCTCAAACGTAATTTTCAGTAGAATTTTCACAAATGAAATTTAATTTACTTTCTTCGGATAGATTTTCGCTACAATTGCAAACAACACAATGGAAGTAAAATAGATAAGGCGCGCCAAATGTTTCGCCACAAATTGCATCAACAGAGGTGCCACATATTGCTTTTTTTAAATAATGTTTTCAAAACGAATGTCAAAAAATAATTTATCAATGTCTATTTTAAATATTTTTAGCGAAGCTTAAGAAAAATAGTAATTGAAGAAGCAATAAATAAAATTTAAAACAATAATTCTTAATATTCCATGGTATGATAAATATTTATTTTAAAATGGTATATCATATCAACAGACATAAAAAAATTAAATAATTTTTTCTGGATTTTAAATTTTATGTAATTAATAATTATTATAACACTAATTATACTGGCTAAAAACAATTTAGTGTTTGATGTTCACATGATTCATATCCCTATATGATAATTCAAAAAAATTATTGTTCAATACTATCAGACAATTTTATTGAACCCATTTGTAGGCAGATTTAACTGGCCTCTTCTTTTGAAATCTATGGTTTGAAAACGATATAAACAAAGGAATAAGCAGGTTTTCATAGTACGCTTTAATCCAAAAAGGAATGATTCAAGCGTAACATAAACCGACGCGGACATAGACATTTATCCGACCGAGAACTGCCACCTCGGCAACATTCCTCCAAATTAATATAGTGATACTTTCCGTTGTTCGTTCTGTCAAAAATTGGGTTTTAGTAACCAAAATGGATCCCTTTTTATATTTCTTCAAATATTGTCATCTTACTATTATTCAGAAAAATAACGTTGTTTCACTTGCACCAATGTATTTACAGATACTTGAGGTACTTTTAGTAGAATATTCGGGAATATATTTTTAATGAGTGTATTTTAATAGACATCATGGAATGAACCTTTTTCCGTAGGGAGCGGAAGTAGATTTAACAAGTTTAAATCTAGTTAACATATTTGAGATGTCAGGTTAAAACAAATTTTATTGGAAAAATTTCAATGAGTTTTTTTTAAGACACTTGACATTTATTTAAATACAATAGAAAAAATATCGTTCATACCAAGCATTGGAATACATATGTACATATTTTAGTCATATTTATGGGACCACATTCGTACTGCGAACGAGGGTAAGTGTAATTAATATGGGAATGTCGCCATTTCGTTTTTGGATGCATTTTTGTGTATTTTAAGATAGTGTATGTACTTGTATACATTACAATTTAGCTTTTTGTTGGAAATTTCCTTTATGGTACTCAAATTTGGGATACATAGGTACATACATATTATATAACTTTTCGGACACAAAATAGGTTTACATTCTAATTTTATGATTTGGTAAAATTGTATTTGCACTTTCAACAAATTTAGTTTTCACGCTCCTATTTTATATATACCTAATAATATTATATATGTACTATATTTCATCAGTTCGATATTGACGAGCTAACAGAGGATATTTGAGCTTCTTCTTCTTCAGTAGCACTTACAACTCCCTCTACTTCCATGTAGCTTTCAATCGATGATTTTTCACAATCATTTTTGTATTGATTTCCACCTGTATCATGCTGACAACTTGAGGGATTCCGAAAATCTTTGAAATTGTCATTCAGTAGCTCAAAGTGGGCTAATGATCTGGCGACAGCCCTTGGGGGAACATTAAACAGCGGATGCGTTGGTAAAAGTTCATTCGCCGGATCGCCTAGCACTTGTGGGTTCAGAGACGATTCAGAGTGTTGGGCAATTGAAACACCACTTAACGTATAGCAGGTATGATAGAGATCTTGAGGCCTATTTTGATTCGAAATTTAAATATATTTAATATTGGAGACATTTCCGAAACGTCAAGATTTAGAATATTTGCATAATACGTACTTGCCCGGCTTGTCAATCAAGCCACCATTTGCTTTCTGGCAACAAACTAAAATATATTCTTGTAATGCACTTGTGTCGAAGAGTGACTTCTTCATCGATCCACCTGAGAAGAAAATTATTTATTTATTCGTTGCATTTTGATCTTGGTATAAAAGCTAGATTTTTACTTTTTTGGGATATAAAGGCTTGAGTTATTGGTATTGTGGCACCAACCCAAAATGAGTAGCAACCATCTACAAGTTTATTTGTTCGACCTTGAAATCCGCCTTCAAAAGGCATTTGACGTTGCATATTCCATCTCTATGCAGGAAATATAGACATAAAATAAATGCAGAGGTTAAGTGTATATTAAAAAAATTTTCCTTGATATTTACCAGGAGTTGTTCAATATCGCATTTGTGACCTTCGTCGAGCAATGCCAAAGCTGCGATGCCACAAAATGTGTAACCTCCATGTGCCTCCAAGTCCGGGGCACCACCAAAACCGCCTTCATATGTCTGACATCGGGAAATCCAATCGCCTGTTTTATCAAACAATTTTTTGATAACTTCTTCAGGCATATTCGTCAGTTTGGCACATGAGATAGCGCAATAAGCACCTCTAACATCCGTCTCGCCATCAACATGTAGCCTAAAGGAGCCATCTGGTTCCCGCACAGAGAATAAAAACTGCATCAAAGATTCACGATCGATTGCACGATACGCATTCAAAGTGCCAATTAAGCAAAGACTATTCACAGCGGCATATGTTGGAGCTAAATGTGGGTATTGACCAGGACCACCGGCAAATCCACCATTTGGATGACGACATCTGATTAATGAAAATTAAACTTTTGCTAATTAATGGAAATAGTTGAGCAATCTGGTTTTTTATTATTTACTTGATAAGAAATTCAACCACATGCTCCAGTGTTTCATCGTCAAAGGTGAAGTTTAATAAATGAGCAGCTTGCAATATCCAATAAACATTCCATGGTCTACTACTATCAAGGCATTCATAGTGTAAGGGAAGTCTACGTAGCATTGACTCCAGATAGCGTTGGTGATCTTCTCGATGAATTTTCTTTACTTTTGGATCCAGGTATTGCATTTGTTGAAAGCGGCTGAAGCATTTTTCTATGGAATTCTCGGTCTTTTGCTAAAATACATATATTGTATATAATTTTAAAATAGATTTGCAAATATTAACTTGTCATCCAAAGGTTTCACCTTTGGTACTGAAAGTCACCTGTTCACGAGATGTTACAGTTGATACTCGTTCATCGTTAAATCTTAAGTTCTTGAGTAATGCATAATCTCTAAATGTTAATTCGGAATCCATATTTAGTGTATAATAATTGTTTTGTTATTTTAAGCGGAATTTCGTAAACTCAAAAACAACTAATATTGGAATATAAAAACAACAATGAACAGATGATTAATTTAAGGGTTGCATTATTTTATAACTCAGAACAATATGTTGTTGCCATTTATACATTCTCAAAGAGTGCCTTTCCAGGCGACTTGCCATCTATGATGTTTGAGTTATTCTATTAAAAACAAAAAACAAAAAGTTAAAATATTAAATAAGTTATTATTGTTTTTTTTTTTTGTTCTATTTAGCATTATGAACTATGGCAGTACATTGTTACTAATATATTTTATAACAACTACGGCGTTTGCCAAAATTGTTATTAACAAAGTTGTTGTACGCATACCTAAGCCGAACGACATTGGACTAATTTTCGGTAAGTTCTTTCATTGTTTTTTTTAATTTAATTTAACATTTTCTTTTGATATATATGTACATATTTGGTGAAAATATTATATAAACAAATATCTATATATTTAATTATTTGCTACAGATTTAACTGTTGTAAATTCGCCGTGTAACGATAGAGAAACGCTCGAATTTCGCATACATTCCGATGCCACATGTAGTGTAAATGTAACCGAAAATGAAATTATGAAAAACGTAGATATATATTTTACACTCTTAATGTAATTATGCGATATAAAATAATTTTAACTTATCTTTCTGTTTACTGTAGGCTGGCCGTGTAGTAGGTGGAAACTTCGGCCATATTGTAGCAGGAGCTGCTGAAGTTGTATCCCTGATATGGCCAACAATAGTAATAATTTAAAATTTTCCAATTAAATATTTATATCTATATTTTGTTATTTAATTATAAAATGAAACAAAAAGTCTCTGTATAATCGAGTCGGAAAATGTCCCATTGTTGTTACATCAAAAAATGCTCGTGGTGTTGAGGAACATCATAAACATGCTATACATTTCGACACTCGTTTTACTACGCTCGACCCCGATTGCCATACGCTAAGAAAACGTTAGTTCAAATATGCCACTACTCCATTCTGTCATGCCTTTAATATGTATTTTAATATTTAAGGGCCTGACTATAAGGATTGCAAGAATTGGGATAAGGAATATTTGAATAACTGCACTCCCGTAAATTGTCAAGAACGTTACTTTGGACAACGCAGTTTTTATAATAAAACCACAGAGCATTGCGATCCGGTACCACGCTGTGATAAACCAAATATGGTATTTCATATACATAGAAATATGCATATAAATGTTTATATGAAAAACCAATGGTATTTTTTAAATATTTTGAAGCACTACGATTATTACAATAATGAATGTTTGATTCCCGAGAAATTTTTTACCGAAGAAGATAAGAAAAAGATACTAAGTGGTGATTTCATAAACGAATGCGAAGAAGAAGAGCAAGAAATGGTTAGTCTAGCATATATTAAGATATAATTTTTGGTTGTATTAGATTATGTGTGTAGATTATTTTATTACGAGATATATTCCTAAGTAAGCATATAAATTTAGAGAAAAAAAACACTAAATAATGTGTATGTAAAAAGATACCTTGGCCACTCACTGATTAGAAAAATAACTATAGCATAGCAGGCGTATTGGGTATATAAAGGTGTTTAGTGAGAATTTTAATAAGGGCGCCGTGGCTTAGTTGGTTAAAGCGCCTGTCTAGTAAACAGGAGATCGTGAGTTCGAATCTCGCCGGGGCCTCAACAATAGTTGGTGATTCAGTACATTTTTTATCAATAAATTTGTATTTATTATAATATTCGTATTTCAATTTAATTTTATTTTACACTTAACAGAAACAAAACGAAAAAAAAGCCAAAAAGAGAAACCAATCGACCAAATATCGAAAAGAACAACAGCAGCAGCAACAACAACAACCACAGCATGGGAGCGCCAAACGCGAAGCAGATATTTTTGATGAAGAATTTAATTTTTTTCCCCAATCACATTTTATCGATCCAGATAATAGCGCTCAAAATCCACAGCCAACGGTTAGCGTTAAAACCGATAACGGTTATATACCGTACTGGTTGAAGGGCATATTGGAGGGCTTAGTGGTAGTAAGTATGCTTGGCGAAAAACGCAGTATTCCTTAGAATAAACTGAAATTTTGTATGAAAAAGGTTGGTGCTATAATCATTTTGCAGGTTCTCGCCACAGTAGCTATTTATGTGCTAATCTGTTTTGTGATATTCCTTATTGTCACGTGGATATCACGTCGTCAAATCAAATGTCACAGAGAGACAACGTGCTTATTGCGGTCGCCAGCGCCTTCGGAAGGTACAGAAGAGCCATTGATAACGCCGTCCAGCTTGTTGTCTCAGCGTAACTAAGCCTTTTTCAACAATTTAAACAGATTTGGTAAGTCAAGTTTTGATTATTGCTGTTTGTTTTAAATATATGTATATAATGCGTTTATTAAATTTTATTCATCCAAATTTCTGTACCAACGAAGACCAAACGTTATATTTTATTGCCGCAAGTTCATATATGTTTTGGCTCAACTATTTTTGGCCTGAAATACTTGAATATAAAATATCAAAATTAAAACTACTATCAGGAAACATCATTCAAATTCCTTAAAGACAGGAAAAATAAGTATAATTGCAATGTTATATTTTATTATATGTACTGAGGTTTACGTTATTGTTTCCGAATTTTACTTTAGTTTTTATGCAATTTTGATAGCATTCTTATAAGTTTTCATAAACGTTTATTATAATTATATAACGATTAGAAAATGACAATTTTGTAATTCTACTCCAGCATAATAGAGCAGGTTGAATTTCTCTTGATGTTCGCTCAAATTTGTGCATTTAGCGTTCGCTCTCCAAGCCTTGAACGACCACATTGTTAACTTTTCATTCATTAACTATTATTTTCAACGTGTTGGTTTACTTATTATTTCAAGAGTGATAGTTATTCAATAAAGAGCTCTCAGTACAGAAGAAACCGGCGTATACATTTATTTTAGACAGATGCGAGCGAAGAGATTTTGGAATTGGAAGCGAATACCCAAGGAAAAATTGAATGTGAAATAAGCTATGACGAGTTAATAATGGAAAGAACCAATATTGATTTTTGCACCTGTATTATTCTCTCTCTCTTCTATTATGAATTTTTCTTAAGCTACCCCTCTCTACATTCTACGTTCATATAATTGTTTGCTATAAATATTCAAAAATACGCATTCACTTATGTCCTGTCATATTTATGCAGAACATTTGCAAATTTAGCGATAAGAAAATTAACGAACTGTGCATAAAATGAGTTAAAGAATGAGAAGAAGCGCTGAATGAAGGGGTTCCAGACTTTAATTAGTAATATATGTAGATGGACACAGTTGTGCAAATATATACATACATACATACATATATAAACGCGGCAAGTCTTTTTTGGGTTGGGAAGGGAAGCTAGAATGTTCGGCAAAACTAAAATACTGTCACAAAGCTGTCACCTCGGAGTGATAAATTTCCTTAACGGGTATAACCTTTATTTTTGTTCCGCAAGATTACTATAACTATTAAAAATATAATCAAGCGCTCATTAGATAATTTAACCTAAACACATTTTGGACTTGGAGCATGTTATAAATATTGGAATTGCTCATATAATAGCTTAAGCTTAGACGGCATTGCTAATAATATTTTTGCATTATATGTATGTATGTCATTATTTTAACGACATGCATCATTTCGCTATGTTCATACCCTTTTGACGGCTGAATGTCAAATTCCCTACACTAATTGTTGTCGTTTAATTAAAATGCAATTTCTTGGAAACTCATTACAAGTAGAGGAGGAGCGCAAAATGCGCCGTGACATTAATGAAAAATTCTATACAAGTACATATATATATATGTATGTACATATGTATATAATACATATACACTGAGTAGTTGCTTCATTGCAACTGATCCTTGATCGTATCGTCAGTTGTCCTAGAAGCATGCTGGAAGGAAATGTATTGGTTTTTGTAAGTAAAGTTTGTTGTTGACATTCTGCTTTGCAAATTTAATGGGTTTTCGTTGTTCAGTTTTTTATATTTTTCTGTGCAAGTTGGTGTGTTTTAATCACATTTAGTTATTTTTTTTGTACGTTTTCCTGCTTTCACTCCACTTCATTTCGTTTTGTGCTGCTAATTTTAGTGTTGTTGTAACGTTTAAAACTTATGAACTTCAGTAACAATTTTTATGTGCATTTTTATGTTTTAATCAAATTGTCCGGTTGGTCATTCGACTTGCATTAATGCTGAATTGGGTTGCCACCCGTTCGGACGTTAGCTGCTTCTGCTCCGWGCTGTTTTATGTTCAATGCTACGCGCACGATCCGAATGCGGCAAAGTTATTTGCCACAAAAGTGGTAAAATGGCAAATGGTAATTAATCACTAGCCACTTTAATTTATGCCAGTCTCGTGAATGCTTTTTGGTTTCCCCCATTCTGGGTAAATAAGTTTTAATATATTTGTAGGCGACCGCTATTATGCACAGTGGGCAGGTGACAGTTTTATGATGCATTGCGAGTCATTAGCGGTTGAAGGCTGCTTTGCCGATCCCGGTACATACTAATGTGTATCTGCGAATTTKTTATATATGTATACGCTCGGAGAGGCGCTTTAAAAGTGTGGCTTAATTGAGAGCGAAATAAGAGGATGTRAAGCATTAGTCGAATAGGTTGGCTATGAAGATACTTTTTTTTGATGTTAATACGGTTAATATTGCACTACACGCAGCACTCTCCTAACCTCAATTTTCAAAAATTGTAAATTCAAAATTTTTTGAAAATATTACCAGCAGTACATATTTATGGATGAGAATTATCTTGCTTTGCTGAAGGGATCACAACCTGGTCCAGGAAAGATCCTGATCATAATAGAGCATTATATCCCTACAAAATTAATGCGGCTGTGTAAACTGGCCTTGAGCAAAATCAAAAACTCCGTCAGGATCGGGAAGGACCTATCCGAGACATTMGATATAAAACGAGGTTTCAGACAAGGCTACTCCTTCTCGTGCGAGTTTGTAAATCTACTGCTGGAGAAAATAATTGCAGAGCTGAATCGAAAAGGCACAATGTTTTATAAGAGTGTATAGCTGCTGGCTTACGCTAATAATATGGATATCAATGGCTATCTCCAGACTGGATAAGGAAGCGAAGCAAATGGGTCTGGTAGTTAAAGAGTGCAAGACGAAACATATCCTGTCATCAAACAAACAGTCGTCGCWCTCGTGATTAGGCACCCACGTCACTGTTGACAGTCATAACTTCGAAGTYATAGATAATTTCGTCTATCTTGAAACCATTAACTCCCACAACAATGTCAGCCTCGAAATTCAAMGCAWTAGGAGCTACGTCGGAATGGGTATTCAATTGAGAAGTAAAGTCCTTTCTCCACGAACAAAGACCGACTTCTACAAATCACTCACCTTCCCCGTCCTGCTATTAGGTGCAGAGGCATGGACGATCACAACATCTGATGAGTCGACGTAACGACTTTTCGAAAGAAAGGTTCTGCGGAAGATTTATGGTTTTTTGTGCATTGGCAACGGCAATTATCGCATTCGATGGAACGATGAGCTGTATAAGATATATGACGACATTGACATAGTTCGCCCGTATGAATAAAAACTCTCCAGCTCTGAAAGTATTCGACGCAGTACCCGTCGAGGCTAACAGAGGAAGAGGAGCGTCAAAGGACGCATAGTGTGTTTCCCCAAGTTAATTTTTAAATTTCTATAACATAAGAAAAGCAACGAGCAAAATCTGGCGAATGCGATGGCTGAGCGAAGACTCTCTCTTCGTGTTTGGTCAAATATTCACTCAAAATGCTAGAATGTGACGGTGCACTCATGTCTTTTGGCACGAGTCTAGTTACRCTTCATAAACAAAACTTTAACTGAAATGTGTTGAGTTGATCTCTAAGGCTTGTTGAGATCCTCTGTATATGGTTGCCCGAATCCAGGAGTAAAGTGGTTTTTAATCCTATAGAAAAAAATTATATGGCAATGTTGGAGGTCTATATACACCCGTTTTAGTCTCAGTCTCAAAATKTATGTGAAAAACTCTAATAACCAAATTTTAGGGCTTTATTCTTGATGTAATATCGAAAGAAGCTAATTTCCAATCTCTTTAAAGCAGACAAAGAAAATAAGAAAAAAAKTGTAAGCCATATCAGTTATACCTACCTACATACATATGTACTTTTTCCAGYACTCAACATTATATTCATTACTTTCGAGATATACAATATGATTTCATATATTAAAAAGACCATTTTTCATTTCCACAGCATATTTTGCATTATTTTAAAACATACCATGATTTCCTTTTCGAACTTTGCCCAATAGAAGCGTAGATATTTGAGCAGGAAACAATTAATTTGCCAAATTCTAATTAAAATTGTTTGCGCTCTCATTAAAAGTGCGTCGCTCCTGCTGCCAAGTGCTATGTCTGTCCGTGCTTCTGCGGCAAATCAGTATTATCAACACCTAAGCTTTATGGGATGCAAACTCATTCGGTCAACCAAGGAAAAAAATGCGAATTTCTTCACAACCCAACAGAAAATATAAAAAATACAAATACAGGTATATKTTTATGTGTATGTGTGCATGCAAAAAACGTAAATAATGAAATCGCTTCGCACCATCTCAAATTGCTCATTAACATTTTGTGTACGCGATATCGCTTTGTGAAAATCAGCAGCAGCAGCAACAGCCGGAGCAGGAGCAACTCCGCTACCACGTTGAACGAACAAAATCCAAACAACAACAATGAATAGCGACGACTGTAGCAAAGTGTGGTTAACGAAATGAAATGACAACAACCAAAATCAAAGAAGGTAGCTACTGTTTGCTGCCCCACGAGGATGCAGCGCTGATGGCTTGTGGCTCGTTCCTATATATAGCTACATTTATACATTTATACATACATATATACTATATATTATATTATATATAAACGAGTAAGAGTTTGCAACGCGTCCGCCAAGTAGTGATGCTGATGGTGGTACCATCAACGAGCCGTCCGAATTGGCATCTACCAATTGGTTGGCGTAAGCGCGCGGGTACAGGGGCGCGCATTTCATGAAAGGTGTGAATTGCTTTCYGATTTAAGTTGCTGTGCCATTCATTTGGTTGCTATTAAGTGTTGTTGGGACGCTTTCTTGAAATGGTGTAAACTTTATTAACGTACTTCTGGCGGTTTCTCTCGATTTGGTCGTGATCTACCACAAAGCTGTCGAAGTGTGGTTGCGCAGCAGCAATACTAGCCTGAGCCATAAGGTCGTTTGTCACATGGAGAGGCATAAACACTCACACACTACTAACAGTGACCAAATGGAGAGGCGCGCGCTTGCAAAGCCTCCTGTGACTGCAAAGCCAGCCAAGCAGCCAGCAAGTTTAGCCAGTCCAAAATCTCGGTTTTACTGAATGAAAATGATTTAAAGAAAAAAAATTGCACTAGCGCACCAACTTAGTGCCGCTGTGCACTTGCAACAACTACAATTCCGGCGTTTTCCTAATGCAGCCACTCAGTTGGGTTGGAGTTTTGCCAGCCACTCGGGTGCCTGCAGCATGTCAGCGTGCTTGAAGCCAGGCTCGCGGCAGCCACGTATTTTGGTAGCAGCGCGATTTATGTTAAATAACGTGGTCCAATGTTTATTGCGCAAAAATGCCAATTGCCACGACACTCAAGTGTCCACTTGCAGCAAGCCATGTTTATCTAGGTATATATGTATGTATGTGCATGATAAATACGACTCATCACAACCGCGGCGTAGAATGTTTGCTGATTCATGCTGTCATTGCTTGCGCGCTGCCAGCAAGTCCTTCCCTTCTAAAGCAACAACATAAAAAAAAGAGCAGCGA